GATCCTTTGGTATATTTTGTGAGACAGATTATCCTTTTGTCACTGAGATAAGCTTAGGATTTTTACCTGTTTGTCTAAGGCTTGTCATTTCCATGGAAGAGAAGGCTAAACAGATATGAATGAATACATTAGTCTTCTGAATAGGAAACCAAGCCCCTTGGGGGGGGGGGGGGACTCAGGGAGGCTTACAATTGGCAACCATTAGACGCCAACAATTATGTCTTTTGAGTCTTGCACCTTTATCTCCATGGAACTGGACACTTAAGTCAATCAAGGAATCACTTGCATACACTTGTCATCAACCCTTACTGTTTTGCCCCCTCCATGTGGACATCTCTGCAATGGACTGGACCTTTGGGATCCCCTTCTCCTATCAGTGACATCAGAGAAACCTTCAGTCAATCCCTGCATGGATCTCAGTGGTCGGTTTCTCAGTCTATCAGGAGGAAGTGCAGGAAATTTGAATAGCTGTCAGAACTGTATAAAATATCTTGTATTTTTCTATGGAGTCATGCTATTGCATTTTGAGTACTGGTTGATACTTTCATCCCTTTTGGCCAAACTGTAATAAACCTCTGTAGTTTGCCTTCAACTCGGAGTGCATGTTCTAGCTCAGTGGTTCTCAACCTGGGGGCCCCAGATGTTTTTGGCTACAACTCCCAGAAATCCCAGTCAGTTTACCAGCCGTTAGAATGTCTGGGAATTGTAGGCCAAAAACATCTGGGGACCCCAGGTTGAGAACCACTGTTCTAGCTGATCTGATTTAGCAGAAGTCCACCAGGCATGGACCTCCTTATACATGGTCCTGGCTGAAATCATATTGCTAACTTGTGTGTTTTTCCTCATAAATAATTTTCCCACCTTGACTACACTCTGATGTTGCTTGGCTACAAGTATCCTGGCTTCATCTGTGAAATGTTGCAGGGCATTGCCATAAATTTATCTCCAGTGTTCAAGTGCAGATCATAATCTATGGTATTATTATGGTAATATATATTGATATCTACTTATACCATAACAAAGCAATGCCTACATCTAAAGCAACATTCTTTCACAGCCATAATTCATCTTCATCTGGACTTGGTTTTCCACCTTATTGGTCACCTTATTCTTTAACTAGTTTTGCATGTTGCTCCCCCCCTTCAAAAATGAGTCTGTTGTTGCTTATGATGTTTGCTTATTGTTGTTTATGCTGTTTTTATGCTATTTTACTATTTTATTGTTCTGCTTTAACTGTATGTTACTTTGGGCTTGGCCCCATTTAAGCCGTCCCAAGTACCCTCGGGGAGATGGAGGCGGGGTAGAAAAATAAAGTTCTTTTTCTTCCTCCTCCTCCTCCTCCTCCTCCTCCTCCTCCTCCTCCTCCTCCTCCTCCTCTTGGTTTTAAAGCAGCTACTTAGAATTTCTTCCTTTCTTTCTGATGTGCATTGCTATTTTGCTGCTTCCCTCCTTACATATGATAGCCAAGCCCCTGTTTCATATTTGTTTGGGTGCCAGGTTACTACCTTTTTGGATGCTTTGAATTGTTAATGCTTCTGGGTTTGTAGTGCATTAAATTTCTTGAATGTTTTAAATAGTTTATGCTCCTGGATGTTTTCTCGTTGGTGCCATTTTAATATTTTAAATATTTTAATTGCTTTATTGTTGGAAGGGTTGGTTGCAGAGTATATGCTAGCTCTATTATCTGCCTCTGGCAACTAAATGTCTTTAGCCGTCTCTGTTCATTGTTGTCGTGTGCCTTCAAGTCATTTCTGACTTATGGTGACCCAAAGGCAAATCTAAGTGTTTCCTTGGCAAGATTTGTAAGGAGGGTGTTAGCCTTTGACTTCCTTTAGGGCTGAGAAACTGTGACTTGCCCAAAGATTCCAAGGCTGAGCAATGGATTCAAATTGCTGGTCTCCAGAGTCATGATCCAACATTTAAACCTCTACATCACATTAGCCTGGTTAGTTAAATTAATTTACTGCATTTTTTACTGCCAGAAATGGGGACGCTTACAGGAATTCATGTGTCAAAATATTTGGCTGGCTTGGGCTGATTCTATCTTTGCTGGTGTATAAATGCTCATTTGAAATTTCTTTTCCCTTTTCTCTGTTTCTGCATGTTAGTGTTACAAAAATTGTTTTCATAGGATTCTGTATCTTTTAGTCAAAGAAGCCAACACATTTCTAGGTTGCATCAACAGGTGTATATTGTTTTAGTCGAGGGATGTGATATAGCCACTCTATCCTGCTTTCGTCAGATTTCATCTGGAATACTGTGTCTAATTCTGGTCATCCAGTAAAATAGATCAGGCTGAAATAGACAGAGCGAACATGACTCATGGCTCAGGATTTCACGGCTCAATAGGGAGTAAAACCTAGATCCCTCTTTACCCTGCAAATTACTATACTGTGTTGGTGTGGCTATTTGTCCTACTTCAAAGAGGCCAATTATCTGTTAAGTTTTGTTTATCTAAAGGATTGATATAAAGATAAAGAATCACAGTAAGCCTGCTGCCTCAAAGTTGGCTATCCATACTTAGCAGGTGAATAGCCGACTGAACAGTTCCCCCTCTCCTATGGTGAGATGTAAGAAATCAAAAAGGCCATTTAATCCAGCCCCCTACCATGCAGGAACACACAATCAAAGCACTCCAGACAGATGGCCAACCTGCCTCTATTTAAAAATCTCCATGGAAGGAGACTCCACCATACTCCAAGGCAGCATATTTCACTGTTGGAACAACTCTGACCATCAGGATGGTCTTTCTAATGTCCTAGTATTCAGAGCAGCAGAAAGCAAGCTTGCCCCCTCCTCAATGTGACATCCTTTCAAATATTTAAACATGGCTATAATATCCCCTCTGGAGAACATGAGAGAAGCCTCCCCACAGGATAGTAACACATCCAGGCATCCCCTGGACAACTCCTTTGTAGACAGCTGATTCTCTCACACCAGAAGTGATTTCCAGTATGCAACCAACTACAAACAGACCTTTTCAGGACCAATTATGGCTATAATCTCAATTAACATTGAAGCCATCTTAGTGGCTAAAAAATAGTTGCTTTATGAACTGTGATAAAAATGTGATGTGTTGTGTGTTCCAGAAACATGCAGGGATAAACAACAGAAACTACCAAAAATTCCAGGAATGATCTTAGTGGCAGAAAGACCACATGTGGAATCCGTAGCATTATTGGTAACAGCTAACTTCAAGTGAGAATGCTTGAGGGTCAGGGATTCACAGTTCTTGGTCTTTATTCCACATTTTTTTTGTTATCTTCAAGCTCATCTTTAAATCTTTTTTGCTGTCCACTGACTTTTCATTTTTTGTTTTTGAGCTGGGAGTAGGGTAACTGCTTTGAAAGATGGTGATTGGGCATTTGGACAATTTGGCCAGTCCAGTGAATGATGGCGGAGAATAATAATTTCAGTGCTGGCGATGTCTGCTTCTTTTAGAACACTGACATTTGTCTGCCTGTCTTCCCAAGAGATTTGCAGGATTTTTGAAGGCAATGGTGTACTTTGTACTTTTCCTGTACAATAGGTGTTGGACTAGATAGCCCATGTGGTCTCTCCCAGCTCTATTATTCTATAATTCAATGAACGCTGATGGAATCTTTCCAGAAGTTGAGAATGATGTTTTTAGAGAGTCCATGTTTCCCAGGCTTACAATAGAGTTGGGAGCTTTATAAACAAGCATAATAATAATAATAATAATAATAATAATAATAATAATAATAATAATCTTTATTTATACCCCGCCACCATCTCCCCAACCGGGACTTGGGGCAACTTACCTAAGGCCAAGTCCAACAGCGCATTACAATAAAATAAAAACCAAGGCACAAAACAACAGCACAGTAACATACATAAAACATAAGAATACAATAAGCAATATAAAAATACAATGAAAAATCATTCACAATCACAGTGAATGAGCGGGCCGCATGTACCAGATAAAATACTAAAAGCTCAGGGTGAGATAGGAACGGAGAAGATTATTTGTGAGGAAGAAGCTCATAAAAATGGGGTCGTAAAAACAGGCCTTCATACAGGCAGGGGGAAGTGTACTATAGGGACAGAAACTTTGAGGGGGAGCAACAATGTATAGTTATATGGTTACTCTCCAAAAGCGCAATGGAAAAGCCAAGCTTTGAGATCCTTCTTGAAGGTTTCTTGCTATTGCTATGAATGTTCCAATACTCAAACACTCATTACTTCGAAAAAATGCTGCACTTGCAGAGCTCAGAGAATGTTGTATTTTGGTGTCAATGTCAACTTTTGTGAAGAGTTGGCTACCTAGGTAGCAGAAATGGTCAACATTTTCTAGAGTTCCATCATTAAACTTTATTTCTGGCATTGCAGAGGGATTGGTTGGTGCCTGCTGGTAGAGCACTTTTTATTTTATGCTTCTGCGAATGTTGTTATAGTGGCTTATAGCTCTTCCTCTGAATGAGCACAGACTATATTGTTGTCAGCATATTGGAGTTCTATAATAGAAGCTGTGATCTTACTTTTTGATCTCAGATTGCTGAACTTATGCAAAGACAGCTATTCAAAATTAGAAAAACAAACCACAAAACATTTTGGCTCCCCAAATTTTAAGATAAATGCTATTTAACATGTAGTTCTTACCTCCCTTGGAAGATCGTTCACAAGACTGAGCATGAAACAAAATGCTGTATAAATCCTGTCTGGATCATAGGGGCTGTAAGTGAAGGGAACGGAGTGCTAAAACTAGTTGTCAGTTGCAACTAATTTAGACCTAGGCTGTAGAATGAATGCAGTTTGACATCACTTAAACTGCCACAGGAGTTGTAGTTTTATCAGATCGTTCATTTTCTCTGTCAAATAGTGCCGGAGCCTCACCAAACTACAACCCCTGGAATTCCATAGAATTGAGTCATGTCCATTAAAGTTGTGTTGAAATGCATTAATTCTACAGTGTGGAGGCACCCTGACAATGTGCAAGGAAAGGCTCTTTCTGGTCAATCTGCTGCTGGCCTCTTGTTTCTTTTTTTCCTCCTTCCCTCCCTCTCCGCCCACCAGAGTGAGTTGCTCTCCTCTTTGAATGGAATCCACACTGCCCACATTCCTGAGCAGGCAGAGGGGTTGCTGGGACTTGTCTTTGGCTGGGGCCACCTCGGATTCTTCATCCAGTCAGAAATCTGCCCTTGTCTGCCTTCCCTCCTGCCCTCTCCTTGTCTGCCAGGGACCAGCCAATGGCTACAGACAGGTGTGTGTGTGTGTGTTTTGAGGGTGTGGATGGATGAGTGTGTAAAAGAAATGAGTAAGCATGAGAATGACTGAGAGGGGGCAGGGGCAAATAGGAAGAAAAAGAGGAGGAGGAAAGGAAGGGAGAAAGAAAAGAAAAAAGCCTAACCAAGCATAGTAAACAGGGACGGAAGAAAAGTTGTGCTGCTCCATCAGTTTGCTCCCTGCAGAATTTGCCATCCTCTGGAAGATTCAAGGTAACAGTCCAAGGGTGCATCTACACTGAGAGTTTGTACTTCTTTTTAACTGTTTATTCTTAATAACATCAATGTTTAATTCTACTTTGTATATGTTTGGGTTTTAAATTGTATTGAATTGGTTTTGAGCCACTTTGAGTCTCAGCTTGTAAACAGAAAAAGCAGAGTATAAATAAACATCATCAGCATCACTGTCATTATAATCAGTATCTTGACTGCCATGATTTAATGCTTTGAATCACAAGAGTTGTAGTTTTATAAAGTCTTTAGCCTTCTCTGTTAGAGAGCTCTGGTATCTCATCAGACTACTCCTGCCATGATTGCACAGCATTGAGCTACGGTAATTAAAATGGTGGCAAACTACATTAATTTTACAGTGTATAATGTAGATGCATCCCTCATTATTCAAAGAAAGAGGAATGCTGGTGTGCAATTGTGAAAGAAATATATGTCTTTCTGTGTGGCTGCATACTTTTCTGATAGTTATTAATATTTTCTAATCTGCTGGAAAAGAGTTACAGTATTCTGACTGTGCGTGGATGGGTGCCACTGCCTAAACTTGTAAAACTGGGGGGAAATACATATTTGGACTTGCTTTATGGCTGCCTCTTTTTCCCTTCTTTTTTATTTGAGGGCTTCTGTATTTTTATCTCTGGAGTGTTTGGCCTTCAGCAACACAGACTTTGGGTGCACCTGCACTGTTGAATCAATGCAGTTTAATAATAATAATGATAATGATAATGATAATGATAATGATAACAATTTATTTATATTCACCCTATCCCCCCGCGGGGACTCAAGGTAGATCACAGTACACATACAAACATTCAATGCTGTTAGGGCAGACAAGGACAGAGCAAACAGAAAGGAGGTATGTTGTATCAATGTCCAGCTTTTCAGCACCTTGGAGATTGTGCTCAATCCAGCTACAGGGGGGTGCTGTCGCTCCCTCCTCTATGAGCCATCAGAACTTCCTCCTTCCTTTTGGTTGCCGTATTTTCTGGTCTTTTTCTTTTATGGTATTGTAAAATACATCCCCTGCTTTTTTTAGTGGTACATAATTTCTCTACTTACAGCTCTAAGCTGTTTTCAAACTGCTTAGGTAAACAGTGAGCTGGGATGACAGTCGGGTGCTCACTCAGACCCAGGCTTCGAACTGGCAACCTTTCAGTTGGTAGATCTTATTGCTGCTGCTGATTTACCAGTTGTGCTGTAGCCAGTTTACTTCAACTGCCATAGCTCATAGTGCTATAGAATCATGGGAGTGGTAGTTTTACAAGGTTTTTAGCCTTTAACCCATCCCTGCCAGAGAGTGCAGGTGCCTCACCAAACTACAAATCCCATGATTCTGTAGCATTGAGCTTTGGTAGTTAAAGTGGCGGTAAAAATGCATTCATTCTACAGTGTAGGTGCCCACTTAGATTTCTGTCTTACGACTTCATCAAACATGCTGCCTGAATTGCAAAGGATTGCGGCAATTCTGGCAGTGCCTGTCCGAGGTCGTAGGGAACCTGTTACTCCATGCCCTGCATTGTCAGACTCACCGGAGTCCCCATCACATGGAGGGAAGCGTTGGTCACACTACTCCCCCCCATTGAAGTCAATGTAACATGGGAATCCTCCTATGTTGCAGTGGCAGCATGCACCACTTTGCCTTTCCTTTTATGACAGACCCTTACTGGAAGTTTCAGTGTGTTGTGGGATGGGAGCCGGCGGACTCCATCGTAAAAGGAAAGACAAACTGGTGCATGCTGCCAAGTCCTTAGCATCTCTTTAGGGAGCCATCAGTAATAACTGTAGCACCGGAAATGTCTTCTATACATGATCAACTGCACCTTTTAATTTTTTTGTTCTGAGTAGAATTTGGAAAGGTTACTTTGGAGACTAAACGCCTCAGAATCCTCTACCCAGTTTGGCATCTGAGAGCAGCAACCCATATAAGTACTATTTCCAAGCTCAGGTTCTGGAGAGAAGCCCTTCGACTGACTTCCCTCTCTATTCAAGCTTAGTTGCCCATGCCGTATTGTATCCTTTCACCGCCCACACAGAGCTGAATTTGGCCAAGGGGGATATTTGAGCAGTAGTGGCGGAGTTATTTGAGGCTGAGATGGAGGTGAAAAGATATGTTATGATTGTGCCACTTCATAGCGTTTGAGATTGGTTCGAACCCTGTGTAATGAAGTGTAAGCCTTTCTGCTGTGTTTACTTTAGACGTGCAAAATGGCAAGGAAAAGAACCGTAGGGTCAGAGCAAGAGAAAAGAAGAGGGAGGGAGTCTAAATGCTGAAATAATGAAAAGAAGCGTCATTTCTGCCACTAACAATTAGTTAATGAGACAGAATGGAAGTATTGTGCAATAGTAATAATACAGTCTTTATGTGTCGTGTTGCCAAATGTGCTTAGGATAATCCAAACTTCCCGGAAAGTGGGATGGCCCAGGGATGCTTGCTATAACTGAAGGATACATTCGGAGAAGAATTTGCCAGAAACAGGAGTTTTTCTCCACGGCTGATATTTATTGTGATTCTTCAGAATGACAGGTAAGGAGGCCAAGTTAGCCTTATTTTCGGCAGAGCAAAGTCGCTGGCTTGGACAGTGAATTTTAGGTGGACTGGAGAAGGAGCCCCTGAAAGGTTATGCCAGATAGAACTTGTTATTCTTCTTTATAAAAGGCAGCAAGCTATTGATTATTTACTTTTGTTACTGTATTTTTCCTTCTAAGGGTGGGGAGAGATGTGTGTACAGTCAGCCCTCCACATTTGCTGGAGCTAGGGGCATAGGACTCAAGTGAAAGTGCAAAATCATAATAAAGACAAACCCATTTTTATTGGAAAGAATACATCTCTAGGAATTAATACATTTTCCAGCAGGATCCCATGGTCAACTTCTGCTTGAAGCTTACCATAGAATAACATGGGATGTCCTTTACTGTCCTAGAGAGGTGTTTTCTCCACAAATCTCCAGGTCCTTCTGTATGCCTGGAGAAAGTTGCTTGTAGCATCACATTGAAGCATCTAGAGATTCCTAGAGCGAACATATTTAATCATCTGTGAATAATCAAATCTGCAAAAGTCAAGACTGCACCTGGTTTTAGGTACTGTGCTTTGGCTTAGATCTCAACCTTTCTAATGCCGCAACCCCTGTAAATCTCTGATATGCAGGAAGTGTTTTCATTCACTGGACCAAATTTGGCACAAATACCTGATACACCCAAATTTGAATACTGGTGGGGTTGGGTTGATTTTATCATTTGGGAGATGTAGTTTCCGGGATGAATAGTTCACCTATGATCAAAGTGCATTCTGGACTCCACCAACGAGGGAATCAAACTAAACTTGGCGCATAGAACTCCCATGGCCAATAGAAAATACTGGAAGGGTTTGGTGGGCATTGACCTTGAGTTTTGGAGTTGTAGTTCACCTACATCTGGAGAGCACTGTGGACTCAAACAATAATGGATCAGGACCAAACTTGGCACAAATCCTCAATGTGCCCAAATGTGAACACTGGTGGAATTTGGGGAAAACAGACTTGAAATTAGGGAGTTGCAGTTGCTGGGATTTATAGTTCACTTACAGTCAAAGAGCATTCCAAACCCACCAACAATAGAATTGGGCCAAACCTTCCACACAGAACCCCTATGACCAGCAGAAAATACAGTGTTTTCTGATGGTCTTTGGTGATCTCTCTGACACCCCCTCGCGAGCCTCCAAGGTTGAGAAATGCTGGCTTAGATGGTTTTATTTACTGTATGGGTTGTTGTAGGTCTTTTGGGCTGTATGGCCATGTTCTAGAAGCATTCTCTCATTCTTTCCTGACATTACGCCTGCATCTGTGGCAAGCATCCTCAGAGGTTGTGAGGTTTATTGGAAACTAGGAAAATTCCATTTATGTATCTGTGGAAGGTCCAGGGTGGGAGAAAGAACTCTTGTCTGTTGGAACTAGGTGTGAATGTTTCAGTTGGCCACCTTGATTAGTATTTGATGGCCTGGCAGTTTTTAGGTGTGGCTTGTTATTGCCTGGGAAAATCCTTTGTTGAGAGGTGATTAGGTGTTCCTGATTGTTTCTTGTCTAGAATTCCCAGACAAGAAACAATCAACAATGTTTGAATTTTGTTTTTTTATTTACTGTTATAATGTTATAGTGTTTTAGTACTGGTAGCCAGATTTTGTTCATGCATGTTTTCACCACCTTGTCTTGCATGAAGCAGGGAGGAAGTGAATAAGACATTGCCATTGCTTATTTTGCTTCAGGCAGCTAAATAGATCGGCTTTCCCTGTAAGAATACTGCAGATGCTATGAGTGAGGTATCTTATAGGGGGGCGTTTATACTGTAGAAAGTGACACCACTTTATCTGCCATGGTGTAATGCTAAGGTACCATGAGAGTTGTAGTTTTACAGAATCTTTAGCCATCTCTGCCAAATTGTGCTGGTGCCTCACCAAGCTACCACTCTCATGATTCTATAGAATTGAGCCATGGTAGCTAAAGTAAGCGGCTTGCAGTTTCTCAAGTCGCTCCTGACATGACCAAAGCTAAAGTAATGTCAGATAGTATTGATTCTACAGTGTAGATGCACTCTTAAGCTAGTTTTGAAATGAAAATATAATGAAAGTATGTGTGGGCATATGTGTGTGTGGCTAGAAGAGACATCTTCTTTGCTTAAACACTGATTAATCTATAACCCTCACCTCCCATCACTTAGGACTGATGACAAATAAGCTTCTGCAGAAAGTGCCTGTCCCTCGGGGCAACTTATGTGAATGGAGAGCCCTGCGCTTGATGACTCAGTATTGTATTTGAATGACTGAATTTCATGAGTCACAGTATACTCCTAGGTATTCACTTCCCTGCTGTCTGAGGAAACCCCATCAGTTACAACCAGGTGGTAACCAAAACAGAGATCCATTGGTTCATGCCTAGTGTTGGGGTGGGAGGGTAATAGGATTGCTGTTTCCCTCTGTTCCCTGCATCCCCACAAGATTACTTTGACTAGGGGCAATAATTCAGCAATCGTCTTTCTCCCTCACTGTGCACACTTTCACCTGGAGGTCGAAAAAACAACAACAAAAAAACAGGATATTGTGCAAACTTGGAATTATAGCATGAGAAAAATGTGGCATTGATATGCCTCTGTAATACAGACACACCCTTGTAATTGTGTAGATCAAAGGTGGAAAGTGTGAAGCCCATGAGCCACATGTGGATCCTTAGAGGGAATAGTGTGGCCCTCACAACCCTCAATGATCCCCAAAGCCCTAGCATGCTCCTCCCTCCACCACCTGATTTTGACTGATGAAATCCTGAAAATGAAAGTGACAAGTACAAACTATCTACAGACCCACTAAGAAAATCCAACAAATGTTACGTTCAGCAAAGGAATCCTCTCACCTCTGCAGGACTCTACCGTATACCATGCACCTATGGATAAGTATATATAGGGACCATGAAACGCAGCTTTGCCCAAATACGAATCAATGAACATGAAAGGCACTGCACACTACCTCAGCCAGAGAAGTCAGCCATAGCAGAGCACTTAATAAACCAACCCCGACACAGCATATTATTTGAGAACACAGAAATGCTGGACCACTCGAACAGAGAAGCCATTGAAATCCACAAACAGGTGGACAATTTCAACAGAATAGGTCTGCCCATGCAAAGCAGGTGAACATAGCATTGAATGAAACATGCAGAATAATCACATGGTGTCTTAAACCTACACCTGTTGATAAACTCTACAAGCTAGCTAGCATGCCCCCCCCCCCCCCCCCCGGTGTGCGATGGGAAGCTGCTGCTAAATGTGAGAGAAATAAGGTTGAACTCTGTGAAAACCACCCACTGCATGGCTACCAGCCTCCTCCCAGTAGACTCAAATCAAGGAAAAGCTTTATGAGAACTACCACTCCTCTTGGCGTCCCTCCAGCAACAGCAAGGGTATCCCTCTGGGCAGCTAAATCAGGAAATCCCAACTGGGTGGCCCCTTGCAAGGGTCTTCCTCCAGGGGCAAACCAAGAATGGACAACCTGGAAGTCCCTGAATAGGCTCAGAAGCAGAGTGGGCAGATCAAAAGACAACCTGGCAAAAGGCCACTACCTAAAAGAATCCCATACCTTATGTGACTGTGGAGCAGAACAGACAACTCTGCATCTGAATGCTTGTCCATTGTGCCCTGCCTCATGTACAGAGGAGGAATTGTTGGAGGCTACAGACAATGCCGTTGCTGTTGGCCGTTTTTGGTCAAAAGATATTTAGCTGCTTGCATACCTTCTGTTTTATCAGCTTTATACTAATTTATGCAATGCTTTTGATATGAAATAAACAGAAAAGAAGAAACGATGAAAATGAACAAAATCTGGCTACTAGTTTTAAAAGACTCTGGAATCATAACAGTAAATAAAGAACAATGCTCAAAAACAGGGGGATTCCAGACAAGAAACAACCAGGGCCAGCTAATCACCTCCCAACAAAGGATTCCTCCAGGCAAGACCTTTAAACTGCTAGACCATTAAATGCTAATCAAGGTGGGCAATTGCAACATTCACACCTAGCTCCAACAGACAAGAGTTCTTTGTCCCACTCTGGACATTCCACAGATATATAAACCCCATTTTCCTAGTTTCCAACAGATCTCACAATCTCTGAGGATGCCTGCTATAGATGCAGGTAAAATGTAAGGAAAGAATGCTTCTGGAACATGGCTGTACAGCCTGGAAAGCTCACAACAAACCAAAGTGACAACTTCCCCAAGCAGTGACTGGGATTGATGTGACATCACTTTTAGTTGTCAAAATGACAGTTGTAGTAGGGCTGTGGTGTTCTGGAGCATGGAGGGGCATGATGCAATGTAGAAACATTTGGTATGTGATTTTTGGCTTATGAAGCATTAACACACCACATGGGTAGGAAAGCTTGGAACCTGAGAATGGATCTGTGCCTTCTGGAGTTTCAGCTTGGCCCTTTGGGCTTTCCTACATGGCTATAGTCCCTTTCCTACATCACCAGCATTCATTGGTTTTCCAGCACCTGTGCAGGTATTTCCCACCCACTTTAAAAGGTTGAAGCACTACTCTTGAAGCTTAGTAATGGCCAGTGGGAGATCTAAGCTAAAATATGCTTTGGTGCCATCCTTCTGCATTTTCTCCCTCCCACAACTGGAATGCAGCCTTCGAGAACTCCTCTGAAATAAAATCTGACCCTTGGACTAAAGGAGGTCCTCACCCTGGTTTTACACAGTAACATCAACAATAAAGAGAAGAATGACATACCACTGCGTTGAGGAGCTTGCAGGTTACCTTTCAACCATCAAAGAGAAGAACAGTGATGTGATCTTATTGTTTAGAAAGAGATCTTTCTCTGACCTAAAGTGCTCCAGGAAGGTCCAAAACAATGCTGAAAATCCCCCCATGTCCCCCATAACTGAAGGCTATCATATTACCTTTTAGTCTTCCAAGTTGGAAACACTTCTTTTTGGATGACAATTCCCAATGTCCCTTTCTACCCAGATAAAGCTGGGTGTAGGATCGCTGCTTTTGGGGGGAGTTGATGGGAAAGTAATCCAAAAACAAGCACGTCTCATTTAAATAAGATCACATTGCTCTGCTTTACATAGGGCAGAGTGTGGAAAATTTATTATTTTTTGATCCAGCTGTAGTCCCCAAAGGTAGCATTTCTAAGCTTTGTCACAAAGCGAGTCTGAATAATTGACATACGTCTAGCTTTGTGTCATTATCTAAGGTTTATCCCTGATTGTGCCACGAAAGAATCTGAATTTCCCAACTTGCTTGTTAGTACAGCAAATAACTGTTAAGGGGACATTAATGCATATTTAGTGATTCTGCATTTGCATTTTTAGAGCCTGAGGATATAGTTGACCAGATCCAAAGTATTTCAGAGGCAGAAGAGGAAGAAGGTGCACTGTGGGAGAAGATTGAGAGTGTGCGGCACCAACTCACTCGCTCTGTAAATCCAGCAAAACTGACGCCGTATCTGCGCCAGTGTCGTGTGATTGACGAACAAGATGAAGAGGAGGTGCTGAGTGCCTATCAGTTTCCATGCAAGAGCAGCCGGACAGGTAAGCAAAGTGAAAGCTTCTCTGGAGAGTTCATGTGAGGACAATTGAAGTAGAGTGATTATAGTTTGGGGTTGGGATTAGGGACATTCAGTTTCCAGTCTCCACTCAATGAATGCCCTGCAGCTAGCCTAATGGTTTTCTGTCTTTGGCCCTCTAGATGTTTAACTTCAAAGCCCAGAATCACTAGCTAGCATGACTGTGCTTAGAGAGTCTAGGAACTGGAGTCCCAAATGCCTGGAACAGCTAAAATTAAGAATTGCTGGGCTAAACACATTCAACCTGACTTATCTCTCAGCATTGCTGTGAGTTTACAAGGGGGAGGAGATGACTTATGAATGCTGCTTTAATTGTACGAAAGCTAGGCTATACATGTAATAAATAAATGACTAAATATAATGGGGTAATATATCAGTGGGGTCAGAACCCCCTGGCACAGTGGGCTAAACCACTGAACTGCTGAACTTGCTGACCAAAAGGTTGGCAATTCGATTCTGGGGAGCGGGACAAGGAAAGGCAAAAAGACGCTTCAACCAGTCTTGCCAGCCACATGACCAGGAGGTGACAATGTAGGCTCCTCGGCTTGGAAATGGAAAAAGGCGCCTCCTCCAGAGCCAGCGTTGAGCACCACCTCCAGAAGCTGGAAATGAAAGGAGAAGCTTTTGCCTTGTCTGTGTTTGTGTGTCTCATTGTATGTGATTGTAAGGCATTGAATGTTCATCTATGTCTGCTGTATATACTGTAATCCAGTCTGAGTCTCCTAGGAGAGAAGGGTGGAATAGAAATAATGTGTATTATTATTATTAGAACAGCAGTGAGAAAACAAAGATCAAACTTTTGCAGCCATCAACACTCCCTCCAAAGTTCTTAAGCCATCCACATTTTAAAAATTTCAAGTTTATTTAACAGATCTTGGATCCCAAATTGGCAAAAACATACGGAAATCACTGACAATTTTGCTCCTCTCCAGCTTTCAAACCCCTTAAATGCTGAAAACAAACCCAGTGCCAATCACCCCAAAATGAGAGGTAGATGTAATGTAATATTACATCTACCTCTCATATAGGTAGATGTACCTACTCTCTCATGAGACAGGTTGAATGAATCCCCAAGAAACATTCGTGGTAATGTGCAAAATGCTGCTCTCCAAATGTAGAAGTTTAAGCCAGTACAGCAAATGCATAGAAATACTGGGAGTTACCGTTCAGCATCATCTGGAGGGTCTCACTTCTGATCCTAATATCTGAGATCCAAGTAAGCATTTGTTCAATAGTAACAAAACATCCACATGTGTAAAATCAACCTACGGAGCCAAGATCATAGAGTTCAAAACCGCCAGAATCACAACACTACACTCCTAGATCTGAATGGAGCAGGCATACAATGTGTGAGTGACTGAATCAAACCAACACCTGACCTGGCTTGCTTGCCTTTGGTAGCACTGCCACTCACAGAGATCCCAAGAGTGAATGCCTATTAGTTGGCCCTGTGCATGCAGCATCCTAATTGTTAGCAGAGCCAGGAAAATGTACTTTTTAAGATGAAAACTGGCAGAATTCCCCAGTCAGTTCAGTCAAGTTCTGGCCACACTGGCTCAGATATTCTGTTCCCTCAAAAGTATATTCCTCAAGTTCAGGTTAATTCTGATGTGAAAGTGAGAAAACAACAGAGAAACATGGCCAGAATCACTAGGTTGTTTTGAGTTTTTTGGGCTGTATGGCCATGTTCCAGAAGCATTTCTCCTGACGTTTCACCCATATCTATGATAGACATCCTCAGAGGTTGCCATAAATGTGGGCGAAAGATCAGGAGGGAATGTTTTTAGAACATGGCCATACAGCCCAAAAAACTCACAGCAGCCCAGCAGAGAAACAGTTCCTGGTGACAAAACCCTCCATAATTTAATTCTTAAGGAACATACACTGTGACAAGAGAGGGTTCATACTTTGTACAACATCTCAGGTCTCAGTCTCTCCTCCATGATCTTCAGAGAAAATGTATTGGGAAAGTGGGGGAATAGATAAATCCCAAAACACTCTGAGACATTCATCAAGGAGCCACACTTAGCTATGGATCCCCTCTTTTCATCTTTGGAGTTGGACTTTTCCTCCTTATGGCTTATATAACAAGCAGGTGTTCTTAGGTAAAGGTAAAGGTTGTTGGAGTTTGTAACTGTAAATAAACAGAAACCTTACCACAGTTTCTGAGCCAAGATATATCCTGCAGTATAATAATGTGTCACTCAGGTTTGTGTAAAGAGTAACAGTAACTTCCGTTCAAAAGGTCAAACAGAGCAACAATATATACAGCAGTCTCTCTAAGTTCTTACAGAGAATAGAGGGAATAAACAGTCCTTTAAAACAGTCTTTTAAAATATGCTTCATGCCTTAGAAATGATCAGGCTTCAGAGAGTTGGCAGCCATTTCCTTCCTGGCTGTTTCCAGTCAGCGCTCTCTTCACTCTTTGAAGTGAAAGTGGCAGTTAAAACTGTTTCTCTCAGCAGCAAGCTAGAGACAGTAGCCAATCAGAATTCTAGCTCCTGGCATGCTCAGCCAATCAGCTGCCAACACATGTCTTTCCAGTCAACCCATTTACATCATGGTGCCTTTTTACAAATTCCCCACAAAGGTTTGCCCTGATATTAAGTCTAGTTGTGCCTGACTATGGGGGATGGTGCACATCTCCATTTCTAAGCTGTTGTCCATAGACACCTCCAAGATCATGTGGCCAGCATGATTTCATGGAGTGCCATTACCTTCTCGCAGAAATGGTACCTAATGATCTACTCACATTTGCATGTTTTTGAACTGCCAGGTTGGCAGAAGTTGTGACTAACAATGGGAGTTCACCCAATCCTGCAGATTTGAACTGCTGATCTTCTGGTCAGCAAGTTCTGCAGTTTAGCGGTTTAACCTGCTGCACCACTGCGGCCCCATTTAAGTTCTGGCTAAACACAACAAAATCCAAAATCCACAAAACAGTAAAATCTTTAGCCAGCTAAAAAGCCCCAAATATACCATGCATGCTTTCCTCTTCTTACCTAATTTACTTGCTGCATTTATATTTCATATTTCTTCCAATAAGTTTGGGGTGATTGATGTTGCCGATAAAACTTCTCCAGTTTTATCTTAGCCATACTTCTAAAAGATTATAAGTATTTTTGGAAATCTAAACTGTGCCTACCTCTACAGGACGCCTCATGGATATCCTACGAAGCAGAGGAAAGAGGGGTTATGAAGCTTTCTTAGAGTCCTTGGAGTTCTATTATCCAGAACATTTCACCCGGCTGACAGGGAAACAGCCAATTCAGCGTTGCTCTATGATTCTGGGTAAGAAATGATTAAAGGCTTCTCTGTATATATTTAATTGTTGAATCCACACAGGCTTGATTCCTCCTTGGAGAATCCTAGTTTTCAGAATCAAGAGCATGGAAAAGTTAACTTTGCTGGACTGCAATCTCTAGAATTGCTTCAGTCAGCATGGCCCCTCATCTGCCTTTCCCTCTCAGGCATCATTGTAACATCTTGTATTATCTACTGCACATTTTTATTGTTGGGATAAAAAAAAAACATTTTACTTTCATAGAGTAGAAATAGGGCATGCACACTGAACAAGTTCATGCCTAAAGTAATCCACTTTGCATTAATTTGTGAAATGTCTCTTCATCCTGGAATTTGGAGTGCAAAGTTTATACATCTTTAGTATGATGAGGAAATTAGATTAAATCATTAGAGTACTCTATTATGCTGCAAATATATGGATTAATGGGAATATGTGGGAATCCCTAATATGAAAGAATTTTGAGAAAGAGGATTGGGGGATGGTGGTGGTATATATGCCTATTAGAGCTCTGGAAACCTGTACAGGAAATATGCAAATCAGGTATCTCTGAGACAGGAAAAGTTCTTTTAAGTCAGGATTGGAGGCTCTGTGGGCCTTTAGGTATTGTTGGACTATAGCCTAGCATTATTCTGCATCTGGCAAGCTGTATGGTTCCCAACTCTCTTTAAAACTGTGTGCTGCAAAGCAATAGGACCGCTCTTGTTTCTAATCTATAAAGCACAATAAATATTTATGGCATGATAAAGATAGATTGATACACAGACAGATAGATATGAAATGTGTGGTATAAGAGAGTTGATAACAAGGCCTATAGCAACTTTAGGAGTCTTTAATTGCTATGCTTGTCTATCAATTATTCATTTTGCTAGCGTCACCATAATTTTCAGTATAGTTAATGTTGCTTCCTACTATAGAATTGGGAACTGAAATCTTAGAATCAAAGAATCATCGAGTGGTAGGAGACCATGTGGGCCATTCAGTCATGCTGGAGAAGCCTCTGTTTAAAAGCCTTCCAAAAAGGAGCTTTCACCACGCTCCAAGGCAGAGAGTTCCACTGTTGGACAGTTCTTACAGTCAAGAAGTTCTTCCTAATGTTCAGGTGGAATCTCCTTTTTTTGTAATTTGAACCCATTGTTCCTAGTCCTAGTCCCCAGGGCAACAGAAAAGAACCCTGCTTCCTCCTCCCTATGATTTATACATGGCTATCATGTCTCCTCTCAATCTTCCCTTCTGCAGGCTAAACATACCCAGTTCTTTAAGACACTCCTTATAGGGCAGGTCTCCAGACCTTTGATCATTTTAGTCACTCTCTTCTGGGCACGTTCCAGCTTGTCAATATCTCTTTTTGACATTTGATGAGTTTGCTTGCAAGGAGGTCATGAGGGACTTTGTCGAAGGCCTTACTGAAATCAAGATATGCTACATCCACAGCATTCCCTGCATCTACCAAGCTTGTAACTCTATCAAAAAAAGATATAAGATTAGTCTGGCATAACTTGTTTTGGAGAAATCCACATTGACTTTTAGTGTTTGGTCTCCAGACCTTTGATAGTTTTAGTTGCCCTTCTCTAGAACTAACTCCTTTTGATGCAGCCCAAAATCCCATTGGATTTTTAAGCTGCTGCATCATATTGTTGGCTCATATTCAATTTGTGGTCCACTAAGACTCTAAGATATCTTTCTGATGTACTGTTTTTGAGTCAGGTTTCATCCATCCTGCGCCTGTAAATTTCATTTTTTCCTGCGTAAGTGAAGTATCCTACATTTCTCCTTGTTGAAATTTATTTTGTTACTTTTGGCCCATCTCTCTAATTAGTTAAGTTCACTTTGAATTCTAATCAAATTAGCTATTATTCCCAATTTAGTATCATCTGCAAACTTGATAAACCTTCATCCAAGGTATTAATAAAGATGTCGAATAGCAACCAGCCCAGGAAAAGAACCCTGCGGCACCCCACTAGACATTTTTTCCAGGATGAAGAGGAAGCATTGGTGAGCACCCTTTAGGCTCATTATTCTGCATCTGGCAAGTTATAATAATAATAATAATAATAATCATCATCATCATCATCATCATCATCATTATTTATAACTTCTCTATCTCCCTAAAGGGATTCAGGGCAGTTTCCAACAAATATGGCAAACATTCAGTGCCAAAAGAAAAGCCATACAAACAGTTTACATCAGGATAAGACACATTAGACAATATAAAACAAAATAACTATAACTTAATAATCAAAATAGCGAGAAATAAAAATAAGAAATAAAATAAAATTTTAATTAATTACAAATCCACATAACAGCAGCATTGTCCAGCCTACATTTTACTAGTTTATTATGAAGAAGATAATGGGGGACCTTATTCAATAAACAACTAGCATTTGAACATCTTCCTGGTACATGCTCAGTTCATGATTACATGTAACCCATTATTACTTTATATGTTTTGGTATTTAGCACTGCTAACCTAGGGCCATGTAGGCAACAAACTCGCCATGTAATGTTTGAATTGGCAATCTGTGCTTACTGAATCTATCTCTAGCACCAAACTATCTGGGAATTTCCTAACAGATGAGGAAGGTCCGGAAGGCCTGACTCAGTTCCTGATGATGGAAGTGAAGAAGGCGAGGACCCAGAGGAAAGGATATCTGGTCAAAGAGCACCAACTCCAGGTGAAGAACCAGGCTTTGGAGGAGGAGTGCAGCCAGCTGAAGCAGCAGCTCCAAGTGCTCCAGAAGGTGCAAGAACGTTGGCGGAAGTTCCAGGAAGAGTGGGACTCCAACAGTTTGGAGCTGCTGAGGTTGAAGGATGAAAACTACTTGCTGGCAATGCGCTATGCTCAACTGTGTGAGGAGAAGAATGCTGCTGTCATACGAAGCCGAGACTTGCAACTAGGGGTATGGTGAACAGGGAGTGTGCGATAATGCATGTATGTACATGAATGTATGCAGGCATTTACAAGGCAGGGCAAGATATTGGGTCCATCAAAACTGTGTAGAAGTTTCATTTTGGGACTACATTACCTGGAATCTCCCAGAAAGCATGACGGATGGTTCTTTTTCTTTCTTTCTTGCTCATCTGGTTACTTTCCCATGCCAGAAGTCAGTGTAATTGAGCGCTGTCCGCCTGTCAAGAAATAGCTGCATTGTTTGCATTGATCCTTGCAACTCCAAAAAAAAAATAACTCTGTGGGACAGATATTTTTGCTGATGTTTTTGGTAAGATATAGTAAGCTGGGAACCACTGCCCTAGATGGTTCTCTGATGTACATTTTGCTGGAGTCCATAAAGTTCTAACTTCATTTCCTGAACAAATTAAAACATGCTGATATGTGTTAAAGTGTAAATACCATCTGCTTTTTTACTGGTTAGATTTTGAAGTGCTTCTAGGTAGCTAAAATCAGATATTTCACCCAACTGCAAAAAATGTATGCTCTACAAAAAGGAGGAAGCTGCTGTGGTCATTTAGAGGGTAGGCAGCCTTATCTAGCCTCACTGCTCTGTATTTCTTACTACTATGAATACATCTGAATATATCAATTTTGGAAAGTAAGTGGGTTGGATCTAGTTAGTCCTTGGGTAGCAGATCATGAGGGAATATTGGCAACATGTCATCCAATATTTTACAGATGATATGTGTGGCCAAGCAATACTATAGAGTGGTCAGGATGGCAAAAGTATAGGAAGCACACACAAGCTAGCAGAACTTTCAGCAGTATGCTTTTGCCTGAACCCAAACAGGTTTCTATAGCCACTTTCAGACCCATCTCCAAGATTCTACCCTTGGAAGACAATCATACTTCTCCATGAGTGATCACCTATGATGATGATAGATAGGATGACTGGGAAGAGCAAGATGCCTCCCCCTCCTCTCCTCTCCCTTGAAATAACTGAGGGTGAACTATTTTTGCAGTTTAAAATAAGCTTGGGACATTTGAATTAAGACAAGGACAAAGGGGAACATGGGAAGACAAGAGTGAAACTAAGACACTTTAAGAGTAGTTGGAAAAGTTGAATGTTACAAGATTAATTAGGACTGTTTCCACCAAATCAGATATGTTGCAAGCATGCAGCAATCAGTGTATAGGAGAATCTCCTATCTGAAATCTTAGAGAGCTGCTCAGGTCAAAGTTGACAGCAGTGGCACTTCAAAAACATGGTGCAAATTCTCTTAAGTGTTTGGGAACATCTGTGAGCCAAATATTTGACTTTTTCCACAGATATATAAACCTCTCTTGCTTAGTTTCTAATATACCTCACAACCTCTTAGGATGCCTGCCATAGATGTGGGCAAAACGTTGGGAAAGAATGCTTTTGTAACATGACCATACAGCCCAGAAAACTTACAGCAACCTAGTGATTCTGGCCATGAAAGCCTTCAACAGCACATTTGACTTTATGTGTAGAGTGTGTGATGGGGGATTCCCAAGCAGGATCCCCCTCTGAGAATTGATCATCTGACAAGGTTGGTTCCATTGTGTGCTTTTTAATCTAGTCAAAGCAGTCAAAAAGACTGATAATTTCACTTCTGCTTTCAAAAATAACAATGATTGATTCTGCAAGGGTCTAGTAGATGCTTGTTGTTGCCTGCAAGTGTGTGTGTTAACAGTGGGATGACAAAAAAGTTCCAAGCTGTCCCTTTGCTTTAGGGGACACAGTTGTGCTGCAGTCTCTTTGAAAAGATCAAGCTGTTATTACCATGTTTTTAAACAGATAAATCAACAGTTTAGAAAAATAAGACTTCCAGGGGGGAAGACACAGGAGGGCATTGGTTTGGGATGAATGCAATCTGATGTATTCCCTGGCACAAATGAGAGATCTGATGGGATTTGTGCCAGAAAAGCCACTTCCTGCATATTCTAAGTGGTGTTATCAGCATGAGTGAGTGTTACTCATGCAGTTGATTTCAGAGGCTTAGGGCTATAAGAGTAGTATATCCTGGCTGGTGATTTAGCATGAAACTAGACAATGCACATCCTTTAGGACAAGATCTCAGCATAAACAAAAGGTTCGGAATGATTGTCTTCTGGCAAGCTCAAATGTCAGTTTAATTTCTAAGATGATTTTATCTAGCTGTTCATCTGAGCATCTGTAGGTTTTCTGAATTCTTGCCAGAGAGCATCTCTATTGAAATCTTTCATACTTGTGGCCTTTTCAAATTGAATAGTTTCCTTCCTCCTTGCAGAACATGGGAAGGCCAGGTTCATGGGTTGTCTCATTCCCCACAGTAGTCTCTTCCTCCTTCTTTGTAACTTATCCTGTCCTAACTACAGTATCCATAAGCACCAGATAAGACAAAACTGGATTGGCTTGGTGTTGTAGTCTGAGCATTGGGCTCTGTCTCTCGAGATCAGGGTTAAATTCCCTGATCAATTGTGAAAGCTCAGTGGATGACTTTGGGCAAATCATGTTTGCTTGGCCTCAAACACAAAGGCAAACAACCCCTGAAAAGCCTTGCCAAGAAAACTCTGCGATAGGTTTGCCTCAGGGTTGCTATAAGTTGGAAATGACTTGAAGGCACACAGTAATGGGACGGAACAAACAAGAAGCAGCACACATACCAGCAAATGCCAGCAGTGGAAATGAGTTCCACTGCTGGCATTTGAGTTGATTCTAGCAAGTAAGTCAATGTACACTCTGTTTCACTAAAAGTCACTAAAAGTATAGCAAGCTTCATCAAGGAAATGTTTCCCAAGAAGAAAATCCATCTCATAGAAAAACACATGAAAGAACCTTATACGAAGTCATACTTCTTGTTTTTCTCACCCAGGGCTAATTAAACCTTTTGAACTCATGACTCCTTTCTTCCTGAGAAATTATTATGTGGCATCAGGATATATATATAAAATAGGTATAAAACCAAAAATTTACTGATAAACCTCAACATTTGCAAGGCTTGCTAAACAGGCTGTTTTTCCTTTCTATGAAGTACAACTGAAGTATTTTCTGCAGAATCCATTGTAAACATGTAACTTTAAAGCTAACAGATTTGTGTAAATTTCTAAAACAGCCACTAGGTGGCTTTCAGAAACCTTTGATTGTTGTCACAGTTTTTTCATGATTCCAGCACTGAACTAAGGGGACTCCATTTGTGGTCACAACCCATATTTAAGGAACTGTATTCTAGCCCATCACCATCTACTCTGACTGGTAGCACCTTTAAAATTTTATCTTCACCTGTTAGTTGTCCCTTTAAAGAAGTGGTTCCAACCTGTCGGCCGCAGCACAACAGTGGGCTTCAAGAATGAAAATCCAGTCTGCAAACCTCCTCCTCCTTTATTTATTTTATTTCCGCTCCTTTCTGCAGAGCTGATCAGCCCTATCCCTTTTGGGACTCATGTTGGAGAGTGGTCCCTGGGCAAAGTGGTCCCTGGTCAAGTGGGCCCTGGTCAAAGTAAGCTCTGGTCAATTGGTCCCTGGTCAAAAAAAGGGTGGGAACCACTGCTTTAAAGCATGGTTACAGAGGATTGAGTCTGAACTGTGTACAAAGCTTGTGCTTTGCCACTGAAGTGCAATCCCTCTTTCCTGGTAGAGCATCTTCCAAAATTGCCCGGCTGTGTTGTCCTCACTATTCAAATCCCTCCTCAAGGCTCTTGCCTTGTGCTTTAAACTTTTCTCCATCCCCCTCAAGAGGGAGAATGATCTAAGTTTATGTACAAAGTGCATTTGTTTGCTGTCATATGCTTCTCTCATGGGTGTCCCATCTCTTCTGTTCTCATTGCCTTTTATTATTTCTCCCTCTTGTCCCCTTATATACTAAGGCCACTGTACAGTAAGCAACTGCCTGGGAACTATGTTTTGCCGTATACATATTGATGATGCCATAAAAATGATAGATAGTGCCATTGTAGCCTTTGGTGCTTAGGTTTGAGCCCTGTAGTCACTTTCCCATTTGTGCTAGGAAGGCATTAATACAAACGCCAAACCACTTCCCAGTCTTCTTTTTAATGAACTGAACAGGCTGTACTACAAAGACTCTTGTGCTTTCTGCAAGGCTTAATACATTTGCTTTGGCAGCTTGTGGACCCAGATCACTGATGCTTTGTTGCCTTTGCTGCTCCCATGGAATCTGAAGAGGCTGTTTGGGGGAAGGATAACTTTTTGTGTAGATTCAATATCCTAGAAATTGCGGAAGTATTTCAGAGCCATGCTTATGTGCTGTGGCATCTGTGCATAATGTATTAGTCGTGCTAGATATTGGAACTGGAAACCTTTTTCAGCACAAGGACCAGGTCCAATTTCAGAGAGGTTATTGGGGAGCATGTTCTGAAGGTGTGAGGAACCAAAAGCTTTAAAAACTCCATATTGTAGCTTAAAGTTTTAGGAGGGGCACTACAACATTTAAGAATGGGCATAAACTCTGCATGAAAGTTGGGAAATCACCAACCAGTGATGCCAGAGGAAAGGGATCATGGCTATTTGGGGAGCCCAAGTCCTGAATTTTCCCCATGATTTTTCTAATTAACACTCTTGTATGCCTGAAAGCTGCAAAGTGGTTAAATATGTCACACAAATCCCCAGTGAAAATGACAATATCTCCTGCATTTTGTACAATATCATAAAGTGTTTACGCTACTTCCTACAAATCCTCTCAACAATAATGAAACAACCTTGTTAAATAAGGTCAGTATTTTTATCCCCATAATACAGATGAGAAGACTCAAGCTGAAAGAGAGTCTTCCATAAGGCCTTATGTTAAGGTCAAGACAGGCAGCTCAGACAACCTAGATTGTATATGAATGAAGCTATAGTTAAACCCACATGCTCATTGTTGATATCCTTGTATGAACTGTTCAGATGAGTGGAGAGATAGAAATAGAGTATATCTGCCATTTAATAGTCTTTTCCTTTTAAGAAGCATTTATCCTTTCTGTCTAACCTAGTGTAAGCAAGTGTCATCTATTGTGGTTGAAGTGCATGGTGCTGGAGATGTGTATGCTAGGCATGCACGCACACACACACCTGATGTCTAAAACATGTGCTTGTTGTCTGCTTGTTCTTTGCTGCTAACTAATATCTTTTTAGTGACTTTGCAGTTACCCCAGGTGGCATGCAATCTGAAATTCCCCTTGAATACCTGCAAAGTCATTGAGAAAACATTGGCAAACTCATATCCTAGGCAGTTTTTTTTTACTTGAGCCAGTTAAAAAAATGTATCAGGGCACACCTTGCTTATCCGACTTTCACCATGAGCAATCAGCATGACTATTTTCTCCAAGATAGGACACCTTTATTCACAATTCCGTTTCGATTAGAAGTTATCCTAAAATCACTCTCATGTTCCCAGAGTCCAAGAGTAACAAAAAAGGTAAATTTTCTATGCTTTAAGAGCCCCCGGTGGTGTGATGGGCTAAACCCTTGTGCTGACAGGACTGCTGACCAAAAAGTCGGTAGTTCAAATCCAGGGAGTGGGGTGTCCTTGCAGACAGCCAATTCTCTCACATCAGAAGTGATTTGCAGCTTTTCAAGTTCCTGACACATAGAAAAAAGCTTTATAAACTAGCTCCCTTTTCCATATATCTCTCCAGGACAAATTTGGTTGTTCCATTGATGGAACTGCTTCTCTCAGTGGAATAAGGAATCATAGAATCAAAGAGACCTCATGGGCCATCCAGTCCAACCCCCTGCCAAGAAGCAGGAACATTGCACTCAAATCACCCCTGACAGATGGCTATCCAGCCTCTGTTTAAAAGCTTCCAAAGAAGGAGCCTCCACCACACTCCGGGGCAGAGAGTTCCACTGCTGAACGGCTCTCACAGTCAGGAAGTTCTTCCTAATGTTCAGATGGAATCTCCTCTCTTGTAGTTTGAAGCCATTGTTCAGCGTCCTAGTCTCCAGGGAAGCAGAAAACAAGCTTGCTCCCTCCTCCCTGTGGCTTCCTCTCACATATTTATACATGGTTATCATATCTCCTCTCAGCCTTCTCTTCCTCAGGATAAACATGCCCAGCTCCTTAAGCCGCTCCTCATAGGGCTTGTTCTCCAGACCCTTGATCATTTTAGTCGCCCTCCTCTGGACACATTCCAGCTTGTCAATATCTCTCTTGAATTGTGGTGCCCAGAATTGGACACAATATTCCAGGTGTGGTCTAACCAGAGCAGAATAGAGGGGTAGCATTACTTCCCTAGATCACACTATGCTCCTATTAATGCAGGCCAAAATCCCATTGGATTTTTTTGCCGTCACATCACTTTGTTTAACTTGTTGTCCACGAGGACTCCAAGATCTTTTTCACACGTACTGCTCTCGAGCCAGGCGTCCCCCATTTTGTATCTTTGCATTTCGTTTTTCCTGCCAAAGTGGAGTATCTTGCATTTGTCACTGTTGAACTTCATTTTGTTAGTTTTGGCCCATCTCTCTAATCTGTCAAGATCGTTTTGAATCCTGCTCCTGTCCTCTGGAGTATTGGCTATCCCTCCCAATTTGGTGTCATCTGCAAATGAAGGTGCACATATCTTCCTAATAGTCCCCTGTGTTTCCTCAATACTTGATCTGGAAGTCTGGAATACCCCTGGACCTGGTTTTCCATCAAATAGAGAGGAGCCAAGTCCTGTTTTGCTAGGGACAGATGCTAGTGTGGTGGTGGAGTTTTGGCCTGTTATCTGTGCTCTTTCTGTCATGGCCAAAGGGAGATAATTCTTGTGCTGTGCTTCATCATGAATGTGACAGGATGTTGCTCTTCCCACAATACAGGAGAAGACTGAACACGGTGACCAAAATGTAGCTGTTCAGTATATCTGCAGTATGTCTGCAAGTGATCCTTTTAGTGCCTTTACTGTAAATCCAGGTAGTCAGTGGGTAATGGGGATAGTTTATCTGTTCCACTTTCTCCTTAATTATGGACTTGGTATGTTTTAAGGAGATCTTGAGTGTGTACCATAAAAACAGGGTGCTTCTTCAATTCAGGGCACTTTAGATCTTTGGGACTATAAGCCTGGTTAACCCCAGCTAGCATTACCAGTGGCTTTGCTGGTTGAGGGGTGATTGGTCATAGCCTGATACATCCAAAGGATGCCAGCTTAAAGACAGCCCCCTTCTGCCTTGGAAATTATATTACAGTAGAATCTTGCTTATCCAACCTTCGCTCATCCAGCGTTTTGTATTATGCAATGCAGTTTGCCTCCTGCCTGGATCCACAGCTGTTTCAATACATTGCAATGTTTTGGTGCTAAATTCATAAATACAGTAATTACTACATAATGTTACCATGTATTGAACTGCTTTTTCTGTCAATTTGTTATAAAACATGATGTTTTGTTGCTTAATTTGTAAAATCAAACAAATCCCTCCCTATTATCCAACATTTCTGCTTATCCAACATTCTGTTGGCCCGTTTATGTTGGACATAAATGGGCCGGCAGAACGTTGGATAAGTGAGAAGCTACTGTAACTAATTCCAGAAATGGTAGGTTTAGAATGAGAGACATTCTCTTTGGCCCTTCTTAAATATGCTCCCTTTCTTTTTATTGTGACTTCATGTATTCTAGCGTTGAGCTCTGTCTGGCACTTCTAGATTTAGCCTTCATGCAAATAAGGTCTTTCATAAATCACTCTTGTTACTTTCTTGGTGGTAAGCTTGCATGCGCTTGATGTTGTGATATGTATGTGTTTCAGGTCGATCAGTTGAAATGCAAGATCAGCAGCATGGAGGAGGAATGTTCCCTCCTGAGGAAACAGGCATCAATGGCTCCCCAGAGAGAGATGGAGGACCGAGGCCTTGCAGATACAATCGCTGACTTGCAAGCAGAAAACCAAAGGCTGGTTGCTTCCCTCCAGGAACTGCAGAGTGTAGTGCAGGTATTTCCTGACAAGTTTTGAGATGAATGTACAACTCATTTGACAGATGTTTTTGGAGCCATGTTCCAGTTGGTGATGGGTTGAACCAAAAGAAGGAAAAGTGGGACCAAAAATCCCAAGTTATTTAAAATTCAAGCGTTTTCTGACATTAACTAGATTTTAGTAGAGTCATGTCAATTTTTGAGGGGGAAAAAAACCCATGAAAACCAATGAAACTACCTAAAATATTTTCATGAAGAAGGAATTGTCATCTGGAGAATACCAGAGGACCAGATTTAACCCAAAGAATGTGTTTCATCTCCAACCTACATCCCATATAGCTTGTTTAAGGGTACATATTCTACCTGTCTACATATTCTACATCAGCAGTCCCCAACATTTTTTGAGACACAACCCCATTTTATAGAGGCAAATAGGTGACCCATTATCCCAATACATTAAAAATTAGAGCTGTTGGCACTGCTACAGGGACAACTATGGTGTCTGGACCTTACAGCAACACTTGGCTCGTGGGTGATTGCTCTTGGCTGACTGCCCAGCTGGCCAAAGAAGGGAAATAACATGATGTACTGGGCATCAGATTCCTGGAAGCGGGATCATTCGATTCATGTTGACATACTATTTATTATATTTCACAGAATTTGCTGATATAGGAAAAAAGCCATTGCCACCCACAAGAAACAAGGCTGGGCACTCAGTGCACATGTATCACTATGAATCGACTGATCACAAGCCAAGTAGCACCCACATCCCATAGAGCCAGTCACCGAACTGCGTGTGAATCTGGATCTCACAACAAACTAACCCAATGAATGAAAGATTGTTACATGTTTTTGCAAACAAAATTCTGTGCAGAACCTGATGATGTGATTTTTTGTTTCCCCCTTTTAAACGTTTTCATACTTCCCCACTGTGTTGTGACCCCTCAGAAAAAAACCCTTCATGACCCCATTTGTTTTCTTTTTTACTCAGAGGTTGATGTGACACTACTAAGGTCTAGTTAATATCAGAAAGAGCTTGAATTTAAAATATCTTGGAATTTGTAGTCGTGGCCCATGGATTGGGAACCACTGATCTACATTATTATTTTTAATAGAGGAAATGTATGGAACAGACAAATATCCCATAACAAGTTTGTCCCAGAGCTTGGAAGTAACAGGTAACTTTGGAAGAAAGAGGCAATGAAGACACTTTGAAAAAAAAAAAACAACTTTATGAGTAAGAGGCAGATGTCTATTGTTGTATTGAATAATTATCTCTAGTTGCTTATAAAATGATGCCCAGTCATTTTAATAAGCATTTTAGCAGGAATCTTTGAAATTTTACACCATTCTCATAAGTTCTAAAGGTTTTTCCCCCTCAAAAACGCAGCAGAAGGCATTTATTTATTTATCGTGTCAGAAGTAAACCAAAGGTACAGTTGCAATGTATTTAAAAACACAAAGTTTTTAAAAACTTGGCATTGTACTAAATGTCCTTTGACCAGTAGCTGGTCACTTGGAGTGCCTCTGGTGTTGCTATAAGAAGGTCCTCCATTGTTCATGTGGCAGGGCTCAGGTTGCATTGTAATAGGTGGTCTGTGGTTTGCTCTTCTCCACACTCGCATGCTGTGGACTCCACTTTGTGACCCCATTTCTTAAGGTTGGCTCTGCATCTCGTGATGCCAGTCTGTTTAGTGCCTTCCAAATTACTCAGTCTTCTGTGTGTCTAGGGGGAGTCTCTTATTCGGTATCAGCCATGGCTTGAGGTTCCAGGTTTTGGCCTGCTTCTTTTGGACTCTCATTTGCTGAGGTGTTTTAGCAAGTATCTCTGTAGATCTTAGAAAACACCAGAAGTGAATTATTGCCATTAATATGTTGTAAACCACCTTGAGTCCCCCCAGGGCTGAGAAAGGCAGTATATAAATATATGAAATAAAAAAATAAAAAAGAGATGTTGACAAGCTGGAAGTTGTTCAGAGAAGGTCGACTAAAATGATCAAAGGTCTGGAGATCAAAGATGCCCTATGAGGAACATCTTATATAACTGGATATATTTAGCCTGTGGAAGAGAAGATTGAGAGGAGAAATTATAGCCATGCATAAATATGTGAAAGGGCATCATAAGGAAGATGAAACAGGCTTCCTTTCTGCTGTTTTGGAGATTAGGACTCAGAGCAATGGGTTCAAATTACAGGAAAGGAGATTCCACCTGAACATTAGGAAGAACTTAGTGACCGCACAAGCTGTTCAACAGTGGAACTCTTTACATTGGAGTGTGGTGGAAGCTCCTTCCTTGGAAACTTTTAAACACAGGGTGGATGACCATCTGTTAGGGATACCTTGATTGCACTTTTTGTGCATGGCAGAGGGTTGGACTAAGTGACCCATGTGATCTCTTCCAACTCAATTATTCTATGATTCTATGAACTGTCTTTATAGAGAGTAGATACATGTTTTCTGCTAGTAAGAATCGTACTAAACTATAACTTCATGATTCCTTAGAATGGAACCATGGCACCTACATTGATATCAGATTGAGAGAACTATGAAGTGCTAACCACCTCCTTATCTTTTGGGTTGGGAGCTGAAAAAACAAAAGTCCTAATGACAAGGTTTAGCTTTTGCTGGAGGACTTGCTTCACAGGTTAACCCCCTGTGCCGGCAAGATTGAAGACCGACAGGTCGCAGGTTTGAATCTGGGGAGAGTGTGGATGAGCTCCCTCTATCAGCTCCAACTCCTCATGTGGGGACAGGAGAGAAGCCTTCCACAAGGATGATAAAAACATCAATTCATCCGGGCGTCCCCTGGGCAACGTCCTTGCAGACGGCCAATTCTCTCACACCAGAAGCGACTTGCAATTTCTCAAGTCGCTCCTGACACGATAAAAAAAAAAATCCCTGTTTTTGATCTGGAAGGCCCAATAAAGGCATGTATTATTCCAAAGGGTCAAAGAGCTTCAAAGAAGCACACATGGTAAGAAATCTGCTCATTGCAAAATTCTGGTAGCTGCAGTTTGCTATTTCCTTTTGTACCACTAATTTATAGCTTGCTGTAGTTTTTTTTTAAATTGCTCTAAGGTGTTTTCAGTTTGAAACCTTTACTCCCATCTCAAGGTTTTACCAGGCAAATATATAATTTTACTTAAGGGAAAGGATGATTGAGGAGGCAATATCTAGATATAGTTATATAAATCTATTACATGGCGGGCAAAATGTTGATATTATGTTGTATGATTTTGACTTGGAGTGTTTTAAAAATTGGTTCCATACAATATGTAATTACAAGGTTCTTATCTTGGAAGACATGTGTCCATCTCTCCATGTTAGAAATGAACTAAAAAGACTTGTTGAATTATAACATTTTGACTGTATGGCATCAATCTGGCACAGCCTGACACTTTCCATTCAACCTGTAGTGAATAGTTGTCACCACTCAGGGCCCTCATATCAGTTATTTGTAATTTATTGATAGTTGGGAACACATTATGTAATTTGAAAGATAGTGGAATGATCTGAGTAGAGGTCTAGGATGGGGAAGAATCAGGATCAAATCTCTATTCATTCACAAAATTCACTGTGCTTGTTGCTATCTTATTTCAACTTACCTCAGAAGGTTAAAATGGAGGAATAGGTGACAAAGATAAAGTGAAAGTAGAAAGAACTGCATGTATAGTTTTAATTCTATACTGTAAGCTGCCTTGGCTTCCAAATGGTGGGTGGTATATTACTTAAATTGAATGAATAAATATTGCCTTGAGCTCTTTGAAGAAAACAAGGCAATAACAGCAGTTGTTAAAAATAGCCAACTAATGTATTGTCCAAGGCTTTCATGGCTGGAATCACTGGGTTGTTGTAGGTTTTTCGGGCTGTATGGCCATGTTCTAGAAGCATTCTCTCCTGACATTTTGCCTGCATCTATGGCAGGCATCCTCAGAGGTTGTGAGGTCTCACAATTTCTGAGGATGCCTGCCATAGATGCAGATGAAATATCAGGAGAGAATGATTCTAGAACATGGCCATATAGCCCCAAAAACCTACAACAACCTAGCCAACTAATATTTGTTTTTCTATCACCCAAGGAGCTCTGAGCAATATGGAGAGCTTCAGTGGAAATAAGGTCAGCTTTAGGAACCTCAAGGTTAAGTGTGAAACCCTCCCTAGTGACTGAAATGTTATTGTATGGAGCAGTCAGTCAAGTTTATTATTATATGCCTTCACTTAATGGGCAGAGGTGCAATTTGTTCTCTTGTTGTCTTATGGGGCTAAGATCAGTGGCATACGCCAATCTAGCCCTGGTCACCCATGGAACTAGCCGTCTCTCATCAGACAACCCCGTGTTGGCTCTGTGGCTGAAGGAGGGCGGAACCGGCATACCACCACAGTGGCAACATGGAAGTCTTCCTGTGTTGCCACTGACTTTAATGGGGGGAAGCCACAGGCTCCATTATTCGTCCCATGGGATCAGCTGCTGGAGGTACCTGGTAATACAAGATGTTGGAAGATGGCTTCCCCACGTCCTACGGCAAAGTGGAGTGATGTGGGACATTTTTGGCAGCTGTGTGATGAGGTATCTAAGGTAACCATTAATGGTTGGCAGCTGCTGGTCTTGGACAGGTTGTCCTTTGTTTTCTCCAGGGAAGCCTGGGAATTATTACTCCTGAGTGGTAAAGAAAAGAAATACCTAACCAAGAATTATCAGCATCTACAAAAATCTAATTGTTCTTTGGAGGAACCCATAATATTCAAACTGACATAAAATTGCTGCAAAGACAGACCTTTAGACCAGAGGCTGGATGACCATCTGTTGGAGGTGCTTTGAATGTGTTTTTCCTGTATGGCAGGAAGTTGGACTTGATGATCCAGGTGATCTCTTCCAATTTTGAGACTCTGTGACTACCCATGGTGGAGTTTGGGAAAGTATTACTGAATTTAATTTGCCATATTTCCCACAAAACTTGACCTCTAGATGGCTTACAAAATTAAAATATAGTATGTAAAGATTGTCAATGCATGGTAATGTGAGTTAGTGGTCCGAAAGTTAGTCTAGACTTGTGAGATCGAAGATTTCTTAGAACTGTGCAATCATTAGGCAGTCTTATTTCAAACTGTTCTACTTTACAGGGTTGTTGTGAATGTAAAGTGTGAAGGAGGACAGCATTTATTGCACCTCATTAGAAAAAAATGTGGGGTATAAATGTAATTAATAATAAATAATAAAGGGCCATATTGTAGAATGAATGGATAAAATCTGCTATTCTAAAGCAGGAATTCTTAATCTTTTCTGCTCAGTATCCCCTTTGGCCTGATACATTTTTATGTGACTCCAGGTATATGGTGTAAAAATAGGTATAAAAATGAAACATTCACTGATAGCAAATGAGTATTTGCAAGGCTTATTGAACAGACTGATTTTCCTTTTGTATGAAGTACAGCTGAAGCATCTTCTACAAAGTCCACAGTAAACACGGTACAACAGATTCATGTAAATGTCTAAAGCAGTCACTAGGAATTTCTTCACAAGTCCTATGGGGGCCATGCCATTGTGCTGGCAATTGCCCGTGAAAGGGAAGGTGTGCGGGGTGCCTCATGGTGCCCTGCACACCCTCCCTTCTTTGCCCATTTATTTTGCCCCATGTGAAGAGGTGCAAGGTGACATTCAGAAAATAATTTTTGGGACCCCAGCACCGAGTGTCTAGTGTCTAGAGGACATGACAAAGATTAAAATCTGTCCAATTTTGAAGGCTTGCTGACTGCTGTTGCTCACTCCATTTGTCTTGCTGTACCAAGCTATTCCTAGCAGGGAGTGATTTTGCTCTCCTCTTGCTTAGACAGCAGGTGAAGGCCAGGTGCCGGGCTCTGAGAGGATTCTGCTAGACATTCTGGAGCATGACTGGAAGGAAGCACAAGCTGACCGACAAGAATTATGTCAGAAACTAGACTCTGTGCAGAATGAGCTGCACTGGGCAGAGGAACTGAGAGATAAGGTAAGTTGCCCCTCATCCTGCAGTGAGGCACTCTTTTTGAAAAAGGCATTGATGAAATTGCACACTCCCAACTGTGGTTACAATGCATCCAGTCTTTAGTACAGTTTGGGAGATGGGATCATGTTAGTGGACAAAAGTTGGTTTTGTCAATTTTGGCAACTGTATAAAGAGAATCTAAATCTGTTTTAGGGAATCCCACCTACAGCATCTTGGACTGACCTAATCTGGTGCCAGCAGACATTATTTTTGGCCATTTCTGTTCTGGCTTCTGGGAAGTGATGGCCCATATGGAGTTGTGGGCACAATGGGTTGCATAATTTTGGCCTCTTGACTCCCTTTGCCTATGTTTTGAACTACAGTTGATAAACAAAGATAGCACACATATTTACATCCAGAGCTTGAAAGTAGCACATTTCTAGTAATTCATTATTTATGAAAAATTGTTATAACAACTAGTAACATGGTTAATTCTGTGTATCTGGTAACCATTATTTTTTTGGGTGCAAAATGCTTTGAAGGTGGAATCTTATGAGTATTTTTCAAAGATGACACCATTTTCCTTTGGTAAATGTTTTGAAGAAGAGAACTAGTAAATAACATGTAACATAACATGCTGCAAACAATAACAGCAAACTAACATTGTATCGTTAATAGTAAGAATCTGAATCTGAATCTGAGGTCTCTTCCAACTCTTTGATTCTATGATTCTATGAAATTATTTCCCTTTGGAAAATACAGTGTGTTCTGCATTTTCCTCTCTTAGTATTTGCAAGATATGGAGGATCTGCAGCTGAAGTACCAGACCTTGCAGAAGAACTGTGACCTATACAAGCACAGAATGAACACTGTCCTGGCTCAACTGGAGGAGATTGAGAAGGAAAGAGATCAGGTGAGTTGCTTTGTTAACAGTGATCTTTTCTTCAGCTTATTTGGCAATGGTGACAAATACCCCTAGTAAATTGGTAGAATACCTCTTGACAAAATACCCCTGTTGCATGTGAATAGACCTCACTTCAGAGCTCATGACTTCATGAGGCAAGGCTCAGAGAGAAGGAAGGGGTTAATACAGTATTTGTAAGGACATTGGTGGACATATACATGCATAAGAGAGTTTGTGATCTCATGAGATAGTCAAGAAGAGCAAACTCTCTGATGAAGTCTGATGATGAGTTGGCTAGGGAACGGACCAGAATGCTGGTGTATAATAATTCTCTATCAATTAGGAACCCCAGTAGTGTAAAGCAAGGCTTGGGCTGGAGATTGGTATCCTTGGGCATTTGTAAAAACCAGAGCATTTTGGGATCTCTAAACTTCTCCTGCTGCTACTGAAAAAGGCAATAGGAGGAGATCAAAAGCTGAAACTCCCTAGGAAGAGTCCTCTGCTCTCACCCTCCAATTGAAGTAGTGTTTCCTTCCTACTGATCATAGTATAGAACAGGGATAAGAAGAACTCATGACCCTCCAGGAGCAATTGGACTTCAACTCCCATCACCCTTGGGCATGTTGGCTAGGTTTCATAGGAGCTGCCTTCTAGTAACATCTGAAGAGCTACAGTAACCTTCCTCTGTGGTTACGAGTAGCAGAATAAATTATGGAGATACATGCAGAGTTGCTTGATTTGCATAATTTATTCAGAGCTGAACTTTTGAGGGAGGAGGATACAGCATGTGTCTTGTTCTTCCTGTAATCTTACCTGCCCAAGATATCTTTGCCTCTCCACCAGGACTATCTTTCTTTCAGGCAATACAGAGCCGAGACAGCATTCAATTGCAGTATTCCCAGAGCCTCATTGAGAAGGATCAGTACCGTAAGCGTGTCCGGACCTTGGAGGAAGAGAGGGATGAATTGCTGAGCAAAGTTACACAGGCGGAAGGCAAGATTGGCACTCTGGAGGCACAGCTGCAGCGTTGTCATTGCACTCGAAGCCTGGCAAAGAAGGTGTGTTTAAAAAGAGGAAGTCTCCAGTGCAAAACAGAGAAAAGGTTGCTATCTTTGTAAGAGGGATGAGGAAGAGAAGTGTAGAAATTGAGTGGGGAAAAGCTAGAATTGCAGGAAGGGAGAACAGAACCACTTGTGTGCTGAAGAGACAGTTCTGGGTGTCAAATGGCTATTTCTGCATACCCCCTAGACTTTGCCAGGCGGCACCCTATGTTTCACCATACATCCAGTCTGTTTGTTTGTTCTCCCGCAGAGGCTTCTGCTGGATGTAATTTGCCATTCATTCATATTTTGCTCCCCTAAGCCTATTTAAGATGTGAGAAGCATTCAAAAAGTCTGCGGGACTAGGAAAACTACGGTTTACAGACAACTTGTGTTGACCACAATTGGACACAGTATTCCAGGGGAGGTCTGCTCAAAACTGGATAGAGTTGTGCTACTACAAGTCTTTCTTATCCAACCTTTGCTCATTCAACATTCTGTATTATCCAATGCAATCTGCCACCTGCCCGGATCCACAGCTGTTTCAATACATTGCAATGCTTTGGTGCTAAATTAATAAATACAGTAATTACTTCATAACGTTACTGTGTATTGAACTGCTTTTTCTACCGATATACTGTAAAAATGATGTTTTGGTGCTTAATTTGTAAAATCATAATGTAATTTGATGTTTAATAGGCTTTTCCTTAATCCCTCCTTATTATCCAACATTTTTGCTTATCCAATGTTCTGCTGGCCCATTTATGTTGGATAAGTGAGACTCTACTGTGCTTCCTTCAATTGACACTATACTATATATTCTCCCCAGAACTGCAGTGGCTTGTTTTGTAGATAAACTGTTGTTAAAGAGAGCTGAAGATATTTTGATCACGGGCATCACTGTTCATGTGCATTTTTGTCCTCCCATCTGATCAAACAAAATGGGCAAGCTTTTAACAAGCACTTTCCAGAAAAAGTAGCCCTTTGAAAATTAGAAATAATAGTAGGATGAATATGTAATGACTTGTGTAAACCATGTGTAATGACTTCTGACATGTCAGCTTTCCCCTTCTGATAGTAAAATCAGAAAAAGACCCTGATAATTTTCTCTATCACAGTGAGAATGGCCAATACTGGTCCTATTTTCCTTGTCTGATAGGGACCAAGAAAAGGTGGCCCACCGATAATGGTGGATGTCCAATGGATGCACATCAGCATGCTTTTAAAATCACTATCTAGATCTCTACCCTCCAACAAAGGATCACCGCCTTGTCGGGGCGCTGGAGCTTGAGCACCTCAATGATGTCATGAGCGTACGAAAGGCGTACGGCAAGGCTGCATACTCTCACCCAACCTTTTTAACTTGTATGCAGAACACATCATGCGATGTGCGGGGCTGGATGAATGCAAAGCTGGGGTGAAAATTGCTGGAAGAAACATTAACAACCTCAGATTACAGATGACACCACTCTGATGGCCGAAAGCAAGGAGGAGCTGAGGAGCCTTCTAATCAAGGTGAAAGAAAAAAGTGCAAAAGCTGGGTTGCAGCTAAACATTAAAAAAACCAAGATTATGGCAACAAGAATGATTGACAACTGGGAAATAGAGGGAGAAAACGTGGAGGCCGTGACAGACTGTATTTCTAGGAGCAAAGATTACTGCAGATGCAGACTGTAGCCAGGAAATCAGAAGACGCTTACTTCTTGGGAGGAGAGCAATGTCCAGTCTCGATAAAATAGTAAAGAGTAGAGACATCAGACTGGCAACAAAGATCCGCCTAGTCAAAGCCATGGTACTCCCTGTAGTAACCTACGGATGTGAGAGCTGGACCTTAGGGAAGGCTGAGAAGGAAGATCGATGCTTTTGAGCTGTGGTGTTGGAGGAAAGTTCTGAGAGTGCCTTGGACTGCGAGAAGATCCAACCAGTCCATCCTCCAGGAAATAAAGCCCGACTGCTCACTGGAGGGAAAGATACTAGAGACAAAGTTGAAGTACTTTGGCCACATCATGAGGAGACAGGAAAGCCTAGCGAAGACAATTATGCTGGGGAAAGTGGAAGGCAAAAGGAAGAGGGGCCGACCAAGGGCAAGATGGATGGATGGCATCCTTGAAGTGACTGGACTGACCTTGAGGGAGCTGGGGGTGGTAACGGCCGACAGGGAGCTCTGGCGTAGGCTGGTCCATGAGGTCACGAAGAGTCGGAGACGACTGAACGAATGAACAACAACAGATCTCTACCAGTACATGGCTAGACATTTGTGTTTGTTCTGAGGCCAGTTTTCTGCTCTGGAACTCTCAAAACCAAACAAACAAAAAGTGATAATAAACCCATTTGTGAAAAATGTATTTTTTGATGTCAAACAATAAGTCTTCCATTCTACAACCTTTTAAAAAGGTTATTTGATGATTCCAGAGGAGGCAAATTTACTATTTTATGGCAGAAAAAAAGGATACCCAGGAAGTCTGGACATAAAAACAGTCTTGGAAGGATTAAACCTGCATGGCCTCATTTTCCCTAGTCCTGTCCTGGGAGTTGCTTATTGGATCTTTGGAAAGTGACAGATTCCGGCTTGCAAACATTATATATTGTATGAACAAAGGCAGAAAAATTCGGCATTGGTTGTAGTGTTGGTACTGTTAGGCATCAGCTGAGGCTACTTTACAACAAGGCCCACTGCTAGTCCTTGAAGCTTTTTCCAGCCCAGATTTTTCTGTGCCTTTGTTGCCCCTTCACTGCCTCCTCACTGCCTGTCTCTAAATGGGATCAATGACAGAAGCAGAGGTTGGAAATATGACCTTTTTTTTGAACTACAATTCTCAGAGTCTTTCTGCCAATTTGACGATTGGCCATGCTGGCTGGGATTCTCAAATTACAGTCCAGAAGAGTAAATTTTGCAAGCTCTGGACAGACGTTAAGAGCAGGAACAACTGCTGGCCGTTTCCCCTCTCCATCTGTAGTTACAGCTGTAGTTGTACGGAATAGGAAAGAGTTAAGATGATGGATACAAGAAACACTGTCAGAGAAGATCAGTGAAAACTGGTCTCATCTCATGTCTCTTTATATGGAGTGGAATGCAGAGTCCTTTGTTGTTAGTTGCTGTCAAGTCGGCTTCAACTTATGGCAGCCCTACAAATGAGAGATGTCCAAGACACTTTGTTATCAACACTCCTGCTCAAATCCTGCAAACTCAGGGTTGTGGCTTCTTTGATTGAGTCTATTCCCCTGCAATACAGTCTTCCTTTTATCCTACTGCTTCCCACATGACAAAGCATTTTCAAAAACAGAGCCCTAAATATATAAAAATGTGAATAGTTTCTGAGGAATAAGACTTACCATGTTCACTGGAGTGTGCCACCAGAGAAGTGTATGGATGCCAACCTAAAAGGAATCATAAAACTGGGGCACATTTTTGTTACAGTAAGTTGTAACATGGTCAAGTATGTGTGTGTGTTAAAAAAAACCTTATGCTTTTAATTATTATGTGCAGCTGCTAATGTAGTACATTTGGACCACACCCAGTGGGGCATAACTGTATGGTTTTTAGAATACAGTCCAGCTTTTGCTCTGAGGAGCCTTTGCTCAGGCGTTTTGCTCAACCATTTCTGCTGCTTTCTCATTTGCATGAAGATGAAGAAGCCTTATTCTGTATTGCTTACAAAGACTATGTAAGTTTGTTGCACTGTTTGTAACATTGCAAGTTTATATTTTAACTCTGTTGATAAAAGTAAAGTTTTTCTGTTCTTTTGCCTCGGTGCAATGTTATTGTGTCTTCTGCTTTGGACCAGACTAAATACCACTTAAACGCAACAGTTTTGTCCTTGGAGTCTCCTCGGGGTCTGAATGGTGACTCCTAAAATCACAAATGGAATAGTTTTCTCAAGGACCAGCCTATATATTTTGCTGCCTGAAGCAGCATAACAAGGCCTCTCTCTTATCCCAAAGTCTGGCTGTTTAGTGCCTCAATTAAGTTGTTCCGACACACAGCAGAAAATTGTGTAAAAGTCTTTCTTTGTCAGTAAAATAATAATAATAATACTCCCCCATATATGTGTGCCCATTGCTAACAGCTTCATTTACTCGTGTCTGACAAAATATGACCTCTTTAGGCATTTTCTAGGTCCTCCAACCTACCTCTATGGCATTTTTGGTTCAGAGGTCTTTCATTTCAACATGGTTCTCTATTATCAGTGGTTTCACTCATCTGGGATCATATCACCCATGGATACAGAGGTCATACTGTAGTAACAATAAATACATTAATTAAGGATTTGCTTCCTTTTCATGATATTCTTGACCTGAGGTAGCTGCCTCATTGTACCTAAACCTGGTTTAGGTTTTCTCTCATGGCCTCAACTTTTTTCCTCCCTAAAATTATTACAGTATGTGGGTTCACTAGAGTGTTTAGGTTCAGGCATGTTTAAGATTCAGCACATTTTGTTATTGTTGAAGGAATTTATTCTATCTTGTAACAAATTGCTTTCTTTCTCCCCCTTCTTAGATGTGTTCCTCCTCCTATTCTCTCTGTTCCATCCTCAGTAGCACTTGGAGCATGATAGAGAAGCCTTCAACCCTTGAGGATGGGATGGGAGACGCACCAGGCATGCTGGACATTGCATTCCCTGAGGATTGTATAAACCAGGAGGAGGTAAGAGGAGAAATGTATACACTGGAGTGGGGTGGAGGTCATACCTTATATATGGAAAGACCCAGGATTAGTCATCTATATATTTTGTAAAGCATGCCTTGTGGTAGGTGATGAAAAAGCATACTCTCCACATTGATGAGAATTGGGTCACACATGGCTAAGCACCATCAGTGTGGTGAAGTTATTCATGAGGAAGAAACACAAACTTCATCACATTTATTAAATACTACCAAGCCATCCACTTAAGAAATGCCAACCTACTGTGTTCATCGCTTGACATAGACTTCAAGTGTTGGGTAGAAATATCTTGGGGTTTAAAAAGCATTGCAAAGGGTTACCTTTTGTGGAAGTGGCCTTAGTTAACTGAGTGCAAACTACTTTTGAACTTTGAATCTGGTTTGCAAAAATGGACGTAAGCTGAGGGCAAAGGGGGGAAAGTCAGATAAGAAGAGAATCTGGAATATCTTAAGAGAAGGAGAAATGCTTGGGAATGGGGTATCATTAGCAGAGAATTTGGGATTGGTGGAATAATGAAAGCAATCCTATTAAGTTATAATTGTTCTAATTTCCACACATTGGCTTAAAAATTCTCCAGAGTTTTCCAGATTTTTGTCTAAAACTTAAAGGTATTACTCTGCTTTTCCATTAAAGCTGAGATCTTTAAAAAGATAACAGTTTCACCCCAATACTCAATATCTATAAGATGTTTATTGTTTGTTTATATCCTGTCTTATCCCTTGAGCTCAGGTTGGTTGCTAGCAATTTTGATATTGATTTGGATTCATGTACCTGAAAAAGCCAATTAAAAATATCACATAAACAGAATTAGGACTACAGAGGCAGGGAGACAGGGAGACAAACAGAATGTTAAAATGTGTGAGTCAGATGTTGTCTGGAATTCTTCACATATCTCATCCAGTCTTCGCAGTAACCTGTGAGATTTAGTGTTGTGTTAGGCAAATGATGTTTAACTGTTTTGGTTTAAGATTAGAGCAATAAAATCCTAGAGTTGGAAGAGACCACATGGGCCATCCTGTCCAACCCCCTTCCATGCAGGAATACACAATCAAAGCACTCCTGACAGATGGCCATACAGGCTCTGTGTAAAAGCCTCTAGAGAGGGAGATGCCACTACAATCTGAGGCAGCATATTCCACGGTGGAACAGCTCTTATTGTCAGACAGTACTTCCTAATATTCAGGTAGAATATCTTTTCCTACAATTTTAATCCATTACTTCAGGTCATTTATTCATCAAGGTTGCAGAAACAGGCACTCTACATTCCTCATTGCACAGTGGAGCAGTAATCAAATACTTAGGCAGTAGGCCTGTTTGATCAAGAAAAAATTTGTTTCTAAAATCGATTTGTAATTGGGGTGTTTTTTTGTTTCGATATTTAAAATAATTACAAAACTTTCCCAAAAAAAGTTTTGGTATTTACGAAATTTCGTAAATATTTACAAAACATTTTGTAAAGATGGCGGACCCCCGCGCATGCGTAAAAAACACTTCCAAAGCTTCGTTATTTCTGAGGATGCCTGCCATACATGCAGGCAAAACGTCAGGAGAGAATGCTTCCTTCCTTCTCCTTCCCCCTCCCTCCTTCCCTCCCTTCCTTTCCTTCTTCCTTCCTTCCTTCCTTCCCTTGCCCCAGATGCCGGCCCGGGGAAGCCAGCGTTGCCTGGCCACGCCCACCCGGCGCCGCCTCCGCTTGTTCTCCTGGCACAGCTGGGAGGGGAACAGGAGGTGCTTCATGGCCGCAGATCTTCTTCTGCTGTGCTCTCTTGTTCTCCGTGGCCACGAGACGCCACCTGCTTCCCTCCCAGCCGTGCCAGGAGAACAAGCGGAGGCAGCGCCTGGCCCGGTGTACCACGGAGAGAAAGAAGAAGGAAGGAAGAAGGGAGGGAAGGAGGGAGGGGAAAGGAGAAGAAAGGGAAGGAAGGAAGGAAGGGGAAGGGAAGAGAAAGGGGCCAGGGGAAGGAAAGAAGGAAAGAGGGGGAAGCCTGGTCCGGCAAAGTTTGGTCCAGATCCAACATTGTTTGAGTCCACAGTGATCTCTGGATGTAGGTAAACTACAACTCCAAAACCAAAGGACACTGCCCACCAAACCCTTCCAGTATTTTCTGTTAGTCAGGGGAGAACTGTGTGCCAAGTTTGGTTCAATTCCATCGTTGGTGGGGTTCAGAATGCTCTTTGATTATAGGTGAACTATAAATCCCAGTAACTACAACTCCCAAATGTCAATGTCTATTTCCCCCAAACTCCACCAGTGCCCTAAGGGCGAGCGCGCGCGGGCCGGCCAATCGGGAGCCGCGCTCGCGCCCAACAGGCAGGGGCGGGGCTTGGCTCACTGCAGTGATGGGCAACCTTTTGAGCTTGGTGTGTCAAAATTCGCCAAAAAACCAAGCATAATTCAGGTGGGGTGCCACTTTGAGAGAAAAAACACCATAATTTTGCGATATTTAGTTTATATAACAAAAATGCATAATTGTAATATATAACTGTATTTAATAACCCAAAAACTAATTATTTAACTGCTTAGTGACTTCTTTGTTCATATTTCAGTCGGTTTCTTTTGTTGGTATTGATATTATTTAACACACATCCTTTAAAAATTGGATACAAGAAGCTAAACCAGAAGACAACATTGGGGGGGAGGGGGGACTAGATAGAATGCAATGAAGGCTCGAATAAAGGAAGAAGCATCTTGTCAATGGGGAGAGGAGGGAGGATTAGGGGTGAAAGAAAAAATGTATTGAAACTAAGGCAATGTAAAGATAAATGTAAAAAAAAATTTAACACTGAGAATAAGGTGTCACAAAAGTACGTCGAGGGAAAAATTGTGAGAAGCCACTGAAATCCACAAGCATGTGGACCATTTCAACAAAAAGGAGGAAACCATGAAAATGAGCATAATCTGGCTACCAATATTTTAAAAACTCTAAAATTAGGACAGTAAAGAAAGAGCAACACTCAGAAAACAGAGGGATTCCAGACAAGAATCAGTCAGGGCCAGCTAACACCTTCCAACAAAGGATTCCCCTGAGCAGGAAGGAGCCAGATTTTGAAGCTGCAAGGCCATTTAGTGCTAATCAAAGTGGCCAATTGCAACATTCACACTTGCCTCCAACAGAGAAAGAGTCATTTCTCCCACCCTGGACGTTATTCCACAGGGATATAAACCCCACTTGCCTAGTTTCCAACAAACCTCTGAGGATGCCTGCCATAAGATGTGAGCAAAACGTCAGGAGAGAATGCTCCTGGAACATGGCCAGACAGTTCGGAAAACTCACAGCAACCCAATGTGTGTAAAGCTTTGGTTGATGTCTTTTAATATAGGCCTTTGATTGCTTGTAATTATGTGTTTTAGCTCTGTTGCACCCCACCCTGAGCAGAGAGGCAGAAAAGAACAGGAATATACGGTCAGAAGGATGTTGGGATGGGAGGAGAGATCTAAAAACTGCAGTGAAAAGGAAGGAAGGAAGGAAGGAAGGAAGGAAGGAAGGAAGGATCTGGAAAAGGGAGGAAGAGAGAGGAGGGAATGCAGGAAGGGGCCAGCGGCTGCAGGAAACTCCCTAACTTGGCCCTCCTGCCTCAGGAAAGTTTGACTAGCTGCCAGCCCAGCCTGAGAGAGACAGAAGCAGCAGCGCCACTGGATGGGTTGAGCTGAGGAGGAGGAAAAAAAGACCCCAACCACCAAGCGTGCGCCTGTGTGTGCGCGCGCGGGTAGAGACTCCCTTCACCAAAAGCGGCCATGTCAAAGGCGCAGCCGGGTGATTGGCAGGCGAGGGGCGGAGCCGGAGGATCCTTTCTCCCGCGACGCGCTCCTGCCTTAAAGAGACAGCACACTTTTTTCCCTCTCTCCCTCTCTTTCGACTGTTTGGAGGAGCGAGCAAGCAAGCAAGCTCACTGGGTGCGCGCTCGCGCCGCCCGCCCCATTTACGAAACGGGCGAAAGCTCCTTAAAACTGTGGGGGCTGCCGTTTCGATATTTAAAAACCCTTCCGGGTTTGAAAATATGTTTTGTTATCGTTTCGGATATGCAAAAATTAACGAATGTTTAACGAATTAAGAAATTAACGAACGAAACCGCACAGGCCTATTAGGCAGATATGTGATTGATTGAACAGTTTTGATTTCAGCAAAACATGGTATAGCACAATCACTATGTCGCCAGTGATTGCTGTCGCAATGGCACAGCCCGAAAGGGCCATGTGAAGAGGGCCATAGAGTTAAGGTTAGTTCCAGTGACTTATCAAACTACAAACCCCAGGATTCCAAGCGAAATGGTCATAGCTCTTTAAAGTGGACCATAATGCTGTAATAGTACAGTATGAAAGGACCTTGTGATGCTGGATGTATAGGACATTTATAGCAGCCTTTTACTATCTAGTGCCTTCCCATCCTTGTTAACTCGCTGATATGGGGATTATGGTACCTGGAATGGAATAAATTTGAAGGAAGTATATAGGTCTTTGTGTTGTCGAAGGCTTTCATGGCCAGAATCGCTGCATTTCTGTGAGTTTTCCAGGCTATATGGCCATGTTCCAGAAGCATTCTCTCCTGACATTTTGCCCACATCTATGAAAGGCATGCTCAGTAGTTGTGAGGTCTTGTTATGCCCTTGTTGCAAGCCACCTCAATCCTACTAAAATGCATTTTTGAAAATAAATTGTATGTGAAACTGATGCTGTCATCACTATGTTAATCCTCTCCTATAAGCAGTTGGCTGTTTGCGGCGCATTATCAGTGGAGCAGTTAGTAGATTTTCTAAGGTAGTAACTGAGCCTGTGTGTATAGTTTGCTGCAGTGGAATATTTACTGTGAGCTTTTGGAGCTATAGAAAAACAAGTCAGTTATGTAATAGGAAACAGCCTCCATTAGGGACACATTCCCTCCCTCAATAAAATCCTAGAAGAGGTCTTCTGAATGAATCTCTAACCCCTTTTTCTGACAGCAACTCATGGAATCCTTTAAAAAGAGGAAATTATTCCTCTAAATGGTGCAGTTTTCCACTAAAATATGTAAGGCCCCATCAGTTATTTTAGTCAAAATAATTATCATTGAAATAAAGTGGTTTTTTTTAAATGGCTGCAACTTTTAGGTCTCTTCTTCTTTCATTTGTGGATCTAGTACAGTCTCCGAAGGGTACTAGATTTGGAAAATGATGCCCAGACCCCCAGAGCTTGCTCCCTCATGATTTAAATGTGAAACAGCAAAACAAACTTACCCTCCTCAATCCTATACTTTTACCTTCATAACTATTTATTTTGTTTATACATAAATGTGTACTTAGTAAATTGACTGGTTAAAACTCTTTAATTAATCCATGGGAGGGAAAAGGTGCTACCTCAGGACTATTCCCCTCCCATTTTTTGTGTGTCAGGAGCAACTTGAGAAACTTCAAGTTGATTCTGGTGTGAAAGAATTGGCTGTCTGCAAGGATATTGCCCAGGGGACGCCTGGATGTTTTACCATCCAGTGGGAGGCTTCTCTCATGTCCCCACATGATAAGCTGGAGCTGACAGACAGGAGCTCGCTCCACCTCCTGGATTTGAATTGCCGACCTTTCAGTCATCAGTCCTGCCGGCACAAGGGTTTAACCCATTGTGCACTGGGGGCTCCCCTCTCCCATTAAAAGATACAATAATGATGGTGGGTTGTGCCACCTTCCAAGGTCCTGATTATGTTCCATATGTCTCCCAAGCCTCTGATAGGTGCTCACCCTGGATTTTATCATTTCAGTCCAGTTGATAAATAATAAGACACAGAAATTTTGGTAAAACTGTCTTGACTCAAAGATTTCCTCTTCCGCCCCATTTCTCCTCAGGAAGTGACTCCAGACAGAGAGAAGGACATAAACCGTCTTTCCATCTTCCCTTTCCCACCCTGTGCTGGTTCCATCCTTCGACGGCAGCGTGAAGATGGACTGGTCCCCATCAAAAGGTGATGCCTGGAATCCCCAGCTCTCTGAACCATGGGATTTCTTCCTCTTGGGCTGCATATAGATGTTAAAGTGTGTGTAGGGTGGGGGACACTAAGCTTGGATACATTGGACTCAGGGTCCTATAATAGGAATGTATGCTGTGTGCTACTCTTCCTTTACATTGGGATGCAGAGCAATGTGGAAAAATGGACTCTCACTTTTGAGAAAACATCACGATAAAAATAAAGCAATTGATTGAACTGGTATCTTTAAGGACTAGCTGGGGGAACATCGGCACTGTAGAATTAATGTAGTTTGATACCAGTTTAATTGCAATGGATTGAAAATATAGAATCATGGGAACAATAGTCTTATAAGATCTTTAGTGCTAGAGTCTCACTATAGTACAAATCCCATGACTCCATATCATTGAGCCATACCAGTTAAGGTAGTGTCAAATAGCACAAATTCGACAGTGTAAGTTTCAGCCTTTGGATCTCAAATGGCAACTGTTAACTGGCAGTTGGTGCAGCCCATATCTCTTATGAGGTTTGCTTGGACTTTAAGGAAACTAACCAAGATGTTGAACTCTAGTATAGAAAATTGAAATCCAAAGAAGTTCAGCACCTTGGATAGCTACTTTGAGGCTCAACCTAAAATAGAGAACTAAGTACCCTTCCACACAGCCCTTTATCCCAGAATATCAAGGCAGAAAATCCACAATGTCTGCTTTGAACTGGGTTATCTGAGTCCACAATCTGGGATTTTCTGTCTTGATATCCTGGGATAAAGGGCTGTGTGGAAGGGCTCTGATTCAACATCCTATCCTCTCTCTGGCCCCATCCACACAGTACCTTAATCGCAAGAGCTCCCATTTCAAAATGTGGGGTGGCTAAATGACGTCACTGGAAAACACTTGATGATTTACTATAAAGGAGGACACTGTTGGATAAAAAAGTCTTCTTTTATCCCATTTCTGGCTGAAAGCTGTGGATATTTGCATGTCTGTGTGACTCTACATGACAGAAAACATGTGTTTTCCTTCCCTCCTCCCTGTGGAGACTGCTCCAGCCAATGTCCATCCCTTTTAAAAAGCCTGAAACAGCTGACCAGCGGATTGGACTGTCAAATGGATTCACAGCTGACTGAAAAGAAGCACGAACGGGGATCCATTAGAACTATTTAATAAATACTGTAAAACACTGTAACACTGCAAACAGAGCTTTAATAAATAATTAGGAGAAGGGAGAAATCCAGAGGAAGCTTTTTTCCCTCTGTTATGCACTGATCTGCATATGTGCACATGTGAATATGCTTGTATACATTCTATATACATTCTACGCACGTATATGGATCAGTGCATAATCATATAATTAAAAAAAAACTTCCAGCAGATGTCCCTTGTCCACCCTCCATTTTATCCTGAGACACAGAAGGGAGGCCACTGAGGATGTTGGAGGAAAAAATCCCAGAACTAGCAGTTCAGTGTGGGATCTGCTCTGAGGTCATCTTAGGGCCCTTCCACACAGCCTTATATCGTGGAATATCAAGGTAGAAAATCCCACAATATCTGCTTTGAACTGGGTTGAGTCCACACTGCCATGTATTCCAGTCCAAAGCAGATAATGTGGGATTTTATTCAGCTGTGTGTAAAGGACCTTAGAAATCTCATGATTTGGTGCTGTCTGGAAGTGCCCTCTTTCCTCATCTGTATTCCAGAGCTGATTAACTCCCCATGTGAGCCGTGCGCCCTGCTTACATCTAAGGAAGGCTGGAAGGGGGAATGGGGACAGAAAACCTGTGCCCAACTGAATATTGCTCCCCATTCATACTTTAAGGAAGACAATATATGAAAACCCCAGAGCAGATTGGGACAAATGCATCCTAGAACTGTACACCACTATTTTAATGGTAGTTTATTTTACAAGGCTGTGTTCCATGCTCCAGGCATTCCTATCTCAGCCCCATTCTTATCTAGCACTGGGATAAGGTGGAGTGGAATAATAAAACAGCCCGGGTGCATGTGGGACCTGGGGACCCTTTTGATTGCCAGTCTCTTTCCTCCCGACTTTCTATTCTAAGACAGAAAGTTATTCAAGTGGGCAATTAAAATCTCATCAAGTTTTCATCACACTTAACATTCAGGAATCAAGATGGGCATGGGAGCAAAGGGACCCTGCTCAGAGCTGGAAAAAAGAGAGAAATGGCAGCTTTAATTCTAGCCTGGTTTTTCAATTATCATGGCTCTGTCTCTGCTGTCTTTGCCATATGTTGCAGAGCTCCAGAAATCGCCTTTGAGAACAACAACTCCCAGAATCCCCCAGCTGTACTATCTGGGAGTTCTAGGAATTGTCACCTTAAAAAGGAGCTTTTGCAAGCTGTGGTTGTTCCAAGGAACTGTCAAAAATACTTGGGAAGTTGAGTTAGTACAAAGGGATGTTGAGAAAAGCTATACCTTCTCTGCCCCCAGGTAGAAGAAGGAGGCTGAGTAAATGTAAGAAAACCTGTAGAAATGTAAAACACACCAGCATGGTGATGATCTTAATAGCGCTTGTCATTATCTTTGAAGAACAGTGTTAGAGGGAGATAGATTGGGGGCGAAAACAGCTTTGATACATGTAAGATTGTGAATTAACGTCACTCTTTCTGTCTCTCCTTTGTGCCTTCAGTCAGTCTTATGGGTCCTTTGGCAGCATGGAAGACTTAACAGGTATTGCTCATATTATTGAATTTCTCCTTGAAAGCTGCATTGAGAGGATGGGAGGGGCTTCCCCAATTGCTTGACTGGGTTCCCCACAAGGTGGCGCCCTTGCTCCACACTTCTCCTCCTCGCTCCGGGAGCCCCTCCAGGGCTCACCTTCCCTCTTGCATGCATGCATGGATGCCTCTGTTCTTGGGCGATTCCGGTCTGGTGTGTTTAATTTATAGTGGATTTTTTTATTTGACAATTCGATTCAGTTTCAGAGGAGTAGGAACTGCAATTGATAAATGCTTCAGCTTCAGGCCGTTATTGGTTCCTCTTGACAGGCTGTAAATCTCACTGTATATCTCGGGCCTGGCTAGATTTGTGGCGTTTTTCTCAACCAATGTATCTACCCAGGAGGATTGGATTATGTGCAAAAAGGACTGCCTGGCTTCTAAATTCAGATGCAAAGGATGGGGGAGTTTCCTCGGGACCATTCAACATATAGCTGAATCCAGTTCACATTTCTTCTGTTGCCTCCTTTGTTAGATATCCAGTGCAGGTATTATTGGAATGCAGGAGAGACTGTGCTGAGTAATCCATTTTCAGGACCTTATAAATGGGAGGGGGGAGGTCTTTAAAATTGCTTCTTTTCAAAGATATTGTTTTGGATTACAATCCTAGATCCCCAGTCAACCTGACTGTATTGGCTAGGAGAATACTGGGTGTTGTAATTGAAAAGGTAATTTTTCCAAGCTCTTCTTTACTGCAGGGAAGCTACTTTCTTATGATCCTGCATGGCCAATTTAACAATTAAATGGCCCAGCTATGGAGGTTGCAAGTAATTGTCTCATCATACTCTTCGGACACGCTCCCAATTTAGAGGGCATACACTTTCATCCCCCAGCCTGGAAACCTCAAAGTATGTTTGTTTGAAATGCCCAACAACTTTTGTAGAAATGTATTGTCAAAGGCTTCCATGGCTGGAATCACTGAGTTGTAAGTTTTTCGGGCTATATGGCCATTTTCTAGAAGCATTCTCTCCTGACGTTTCGCCTGCATCTATGGCAGGCATCCTCAGAGGTTGTGACGTCTGTTGGAACTATTGGTTGTGAGGTCTGTTGGAACAACCCACACCAAAAATATGCCAGGCCATCAAATGCTAATCAAGGTGGCCAACTGAAACATTCACACCTAACTCCAACAGACAAGAGTTCATTCTCCCACCCTGGACATTCCACAGATATATATACCTAATTTTACTACTTTCAACAGACCTCTCAACCTCTGAGGATGCCTGCCATAGATGCAGGTGAAACATCAGGAGAGAATGCTTCTAGAACATGGCCTTATAGCCCAAAAAACATACAACAACCCAACTTGTGTAGAAGCTGAACATCATGGAGGTTTTAATCTGACTCATTTAGCTGAGGATGACTAGCTTATATGACTATCCATCACCCAAATGGTTGGACTGTTGAATGTTACCCCAACTGTATGGGAGATGCTCATGGAAATGATCCCTCAGTTTGGAGTTTTGTCAACCCATCTACTTCAGTGTTAAGGTCTAACTTTGCTTCATTCTCTTTGAGAATCAGCACGATAACTTGGTTTTCATCCTTTACTCTTTTCAGAAAGCGTCACCACTACAGCCTCCTCTGTCAGATCCCCTTCATCATCAGGCAGTGCACACACAAGGGCAAAGTCAGAAATCTGCTTATCCACCATCTCCGACGAGCAGGGGTTTGCCAGGAGGTCTCTTTGCTTTTTGTTCTCCATTTCCCAATGGTTTCTAAGAATAGCTTTTTGAATTATAGCACAGTAGAAGATGGAGTACTTAGACTGGAAGAGTTAGTCCTGCAAATCTACCTATAGTGGCAAATGAGAGGGATTTTGGTGCTGGTATTTCTTTAAGGGACACTGTCCTCTATCATGGTGATTATGGGGGATGCAGTCAAGAAGTAACTTTTCCAATCTGTGTGGGAAAAATTGTGTTCGGTATAATCACTTTTCCATGTCATCCATTTTCAGGACTCTTCTTCCTTCTGTTGAATCCTGAACTGTTGCTGCTACTGCCTTTGACACTGTTCCCTTGCATCTTTTTGGTTGTGAAAATGCAAAGCTGCCTAATATCATGTTAGATCATTGGTAACTTTTCTCCAGTAATGTCTATTGAAATTTATGGCTTCTTCATGGTCACTGAGTTGGCAGTGCAGAGATAGAAAAAAGCCCTACAGTTTGCCTTCATTCAGATCTGCAAAGTGGAAATTACGGGTCAAATTCTGTGTTTTGGGGTCCCAAGTATGGCCCTTGAAGCCCTCCAGAAACCTCACCCAAGCCTTCAGACACCCAAATTCTTTCCAACCAGCATTTGAGTGATTGGCAGAAAGCCATTCCAAAGCCACCTGCTAATGTAGATTGCTCTCCTCAATTCTCCAGTATCCTCTACACCCCCTCCCCCCAAAATAACTAGAGGGGAAATGAGAAAATAGATGAAAACTGGCCAAAAAGGTGGTCAGAAGTGATGTTATATCATTGCTGTTACATCACTTCTAATGTATCAGAACATATTGGTGCTGCCAGCCAGGCTGAAAGAGGGAGGGAATTGCTCCCCTCTACTTTGCAGTTGCCTATCCCTGCTTTCCCCTTGTGCTTTCCCTGTGGAAGCTTAGGATTTATAGTTTTGTGAGATCCTTAAAATTCTGTGCTCGAGAGTTTCAGTGCTGTAATTCAGGGGAATGGACTAGAGCTCTAAAGCAGTGAATTCTAAGTACCTCACTAAATTACACATAGCTTTTGTTATATTTTATTTATATCTTGCCTTTTTCTCATCCCTGAAACACATCACTGAAATATACAAAAGTTAAAATGTAGTTAAAATACAAATAGAACCCAGAGATATTTAAAAAGCTGTCATAGGCTGGGATAAAGACCAATTGATTCAAACTACAGGGAAAGAGATTCCATTTAAACATCAGAAAAAATGTCCTGTCGGTAAGAGCTGTTCAACAATGAAATACACTGCCCAGATTGTGGTAAAGTCTCCTTCTCTGGAAGTTTTTAAACAGAGGCGGGTTGGCCATCTGTTGGAAGTACTTTAATTACGTGTTCCTGCATGGCAGGAGTTTGTGCTAGCTGGATCTTGTCTCTTCCAACCCTTGAGTGTATGTTTGCAGTTGATTCAGTATTAAATAACTGAGTAATACATTTGTAGGGCACTAAACAAAGCGACTCTGCATTGGCAGGGTTATTCTTGATATTTGTGATATCCCCTTTACCCCATTTTAAGTAACGGAGGAAAGCAATTGCTAATTTCTTTCATTTCAAGTCCCCAATATGGGGCATGACTCATTTATTACATTTTCATAGACCCTTTCAATAAAAAGTGCCTAGGGCAGTTTACAAGAAATGGAAATGTAAACAATTGAAAATGAAGCAAAACAGCTGCAAGTAAACATAAGAGCAGGGTATCAGTCCTGCTTTTGGAAGGAAATTGTTCTTCATAGCTCGGTATAACAGTATAAGTGTCCCTATAAAAGTGCCCTTCTGATCTGTTGTTTATAGTTTGATGCTGTCCCCAGACAGCATGACCATCAATACATCTCTAAGGTATTCACATGGGGAAGGCTATCCTCTTGGTTCATGTGATGGAGGTTCGAGGTCCAGTTAAAGTTAAAGGCCTTTAAGAACTTGGTGATGGAGGATTTTGCTCTGCAGACCTATTGGTAGTTGCAAGGGAACCTGTGGGCCTGCTAGTCTGATGAAGCTAAGTGGTATGATAATGTTCCTTCAGGATACATGTCTTTATCACAGCATCTATGCGAACACCATTTCTTTACCTGCTGTTAGGACGTAGGCCTCAAATATCTTGGAAAGATTAGAATTTGGGAATAAGGGAGAAAAACTGGTGATTGAAACTTACTTCCAAACAACCAACTGGTTTGAACTGGTTTTGCCCTGGTGCACAATGTGTTTTAAATCCTCCCAAATTTAATCTGTGTATTTTATTATGATATTATTAGTTAGTTGCAATGTTTTTTGATTTTATCATTATGTATTATGTTTTTAGTCTTGCTTGGTTTTATATTTATTTATTGTAAGCTGCCTGAGTCTTTTTGGAGAGGGAGCAGGATATAAATAAAGTTGTGTATTGTTTATTATTATTATTATTATTATTATTATTATTATTATTATCTTATTGTTCTCATCATCACCTTCCAGTTTCCAGCATCTGGAAACTGTAAATGACCATGCCATATTTAATATCTCAATAACCCACTTTTCTTCCAAAGAGGTTAGAGCTTTCCTCTTCTTGTAAATCCTCAGTGACCCTATGAGGCACGTTTAGTTAAGACATAGTGACTGGCTGAAAGTCATCTAATGATCTTCATGCCCAAGCAAAGATTTGGCCATGTGCCTCCCCATTCCTACATTCAACATTGTAACTATCACACTATCCTGGATCATCTTGGACTGGTCCATGATAACAACAGCAGCATTTATCTTGTGGGGCAGTCTTACTGCCATTCTCCACCAGAGCTTGGAAAATTTACTTCTTTGGATTACTACTTCAGAATCTCCAGTGTCATTGTCCTCCTCCTCCTCTTCCTCCTCCTCCTCATTATCTTCCCTTTCTCTCAGAGTTGAGGCTCAAGGTAGCTTATAATTTAAATTTGACTACTGCCCACACTGCTTGGGGGATTCTGAAGTTTGTAGAAAAAAGCCCTATGGCGATAACTGGGAATTTCCTTGTCAGTGGGATGGTGAACCTGTTCTTAGAATTTGTCTGGAATTTAAAGAAGCTGGCCAAAGTTCTGAACCTTATCCCCAAACTAGTCTACTACCTTGGATAGCTCTTTTGAAGTTCAGACTCAAATTCAGAGCTGATTCACTGCCTACTGGCATGGAAGCCCCCTACGGCCTCTGAGAAAATGTTTTCACTATGATTTATGGAGCTCCCTAGATTCTCCTAATCAAGCCAGATCATGCTTCAGCTGAAATAGTTTTCTTTTTCTTTTTTCCTCAACCAGATCTGTTGTGGTGCATTTGTCTAATGCAGGCCCCTTGGGCATCCCAGCACCACAAAGCAGAGGTCTTGTGGGAGACATTTCAATCCTCGGAGGAAACAGAACTGGGATTTATGTCCAGTGGGTGAGACCAGGCTCAGAAGCTGAGGGCATAGGACTTCGAGAGGGATGCCGACTCCTAGAGGTATTATTGAATGAGTCACAGTTAACCTTTGACCAAGGAGAGTTTAATATGGAAGGTGAATGCTGCAGTAATCAAAGGGTGGTGTTTCTATGTTCCCTCTTAGAGGTATATGGAGTGCACCTTGCTTGGAGTTCAAATATATAGAATACCAGATTATACTTAGTGGATGTGTTACATATTGTAAAGGTGCACAGTTGGATGGTGCCTTTTTCAGGACCGACTCATGTGTCATAAAGGTGGGTAGGCTTTCATGTTCTTCAGAACACTTTGTCTAGCTGAGTTGCACAAAAAATGAGGAAGAAACGGGAAAATCCAATAACTAGGCAAGATGTAGCCATGAGGTCTAGCTGAACTTTTGGACTTTGATGTCCTAAGTTTTGTTCCATCTAGCCTGATTAAGAATTCTGAAGAACTCAGAATTGTACACTTATATGGAATTTCAGTTGGCCCTAATAACATTAGTACCTGTTGGCCCATATTCAATTTAACCAATTCTGTATTGATAGAGGTAGCCCATGTATGAAAAGAATTAGGGAATCTATTGATATCTGCTGAATTATGATGACTCCATGAATTTCATAAGATATTCTTAGGCAAGAAATACTCAGAGATAATTTACCATTTCTTTCCTCTAAAGTATAACTCACAGCACTTGGTATTCCTTGACTGTTTTCCATCCAAGTACTTACGAAAACTGATTTTGCTTAGCTTCCAAGATCAAATGAGATATGGTGCCTTCATGGTATTTAGACCTGGCATATCAATGGCAATATAATTGGTATAGTACTATTCTACAGTCTTGGGACTTTGGGAAGAGACTAAAGAGTTCTCTTCTTGAGACCAATAATGCATGTTCACAAACTATTCTAAGTGACCCATCAAACTTTATATACCAGGATACTGTTGAACAGTGGCACAAGAAGTGATTTAATTGGTGTAACTGTATAGTGTGGATACACCATAAGATAACTGGGGGTGGGGGAAGAGGAGTATGAACAGTATCATCATCATTGCTTTGAAGTTTAGAAATATTATGAAGCTTATGGTGCTTGATCTATCTGTTACCTTTCTCTTTGTGTTTCTGTCACAGCTTAGGAGGACACAGCTAAATGGGGAGGTGCTCTCCCTTGAGAACTGCACCCGAGAGGTAGCGTATCTGAGTCTGTTGCACTGGGATGACCCATCTTCTCTTATCTTCCTGCCCGATAGGAAAGGTAAATTGAATTGTCTACAAAGGATATGCTGTGTGTGGCTGTTTATCCTTAATTCATCTGGACAGCCAAGGCAGATTGTATTCTACACATCTGTGAACTGAACATCTGTCTTAGAAGCCTGCATTTTTTTGGATTTCATTTAAAAATATAATATGAAGTTTCTAGACACTGAGGTGGCAGAATAATATCTCAAAACCTGAGTCAAGACTTAGTGAGACTTCACTGCAGTGCCATTTTTCTCCATTCTACTCTTGCTTGTAGAACGTAGGATGTTGAACTAGCTAGATCTCTGTTCTTATCCATCAAGGGCTTTTCTTCTTTGCCATCTCTCCTTGTTAGGATATCACCCTCTCAAAGAAGCCCTAGATGCTGGACAGAGAGTTCCTGGTGACTCTTTCTATGTGCGGGCCAACCTGAACCTCCTGGACCTTGCGGACCCATATGGGCTGTGTGTGAAGTGCCGAGAGATACTGCACATCACTGATACCTTGCACAAGGGACGACTGGAATGGTATTGTGCCCGAGTAGATCCTTTCACTCTCCGGGACTTGGATAAAGGCACAGTACCTAATTACAGCAGGTAATGGACAAAAGGGTGGGTGCTGGTTGAAGAACTGCTTTTTCATGTCAGTCAGTTTTTGGTGTCTAATAAGATTGAATTCAGACAAGTTGCTCTTTTTTGCATTATGACACCTAACACCAGGCATGTTGGCTGGAGGGATTTCTGGAAAGCCTAGTTGCTTTTGATCTCAATCCTGAGAGAACAGTGGGGTCATCATCATCATCATCATCATCATCATCATCCAACTCCCCCCAAACCTCTAATGATTTCAAAAGGAGAAAATAATCCACTGCATTTCCTCTAAGAAGGACCAAGCCTCATTTGCTGTGTTTGTGGTTTGCTTGCAAAAAGTCCAGAAGTCAATCTTTGGCATCTCCAGCTTAAAAAAGGACCAAGTAACTGCTGAAGAGGAAGGTCCAAGTCAACAATGTTTGACTAGACAGACCAAGAGTTTGACCTGGTGTACATCAGCTTTTATAACACCATCTCCCTCTTCAACATGAGATATAGAATCATAATATCTCCATACATTCTTATTCTTGTTGCCCTTCTCTGCACAAGCTCCAACTTGTTTAAAACTACCCCAATTTTTGTTTTCCAAAAAGAAATGCATGTTGGTCCTTATTTCATGGAACCATGATGATGGACAATTGGCCATCCAGATGTTTGCTTATAAACTGTCCCACCCCCACTGGCATGATCAGTGTTAACGTGTGGGATGGTAGGAAATATTTGGAGTGCAAAAGTGTTTGAAGGAGCGTCTGAAGAAGAAATACAGGGTATTTCAAAAAAGATGGACCCAATTTGAAATCATTATATTTCAACAATCATGAAATGACCATTAAGAAAACTCTGAGTTTCAAATGATTACCACTAGATGTATCTCCTAAAATGCCATTGAAATGCATGCTGCATCTCAATTATAGATCGAGTCTTATGTTGCAGGGTTCCTATCTTGTGAATGACTTAGGGTAGGGGCTGTTGGTGCACTGGGAGAGGCATCTAGTGGTAATCAATCGAAACTCTATGTCCCATGGTTTGAAAGGTAGGAGCCTTATTCATGGATAGTTTGTGGTTGCAGAGATACAGTGATTTCAAATTGGGTCCATTTTTTTGAAATACCCTGCATTTATGGAACAATTCTCTTTTTGATGCATGTGTATGTATGAATTCTAGAGAGTTCTCCCTTCCCCTGTCAATTTTATCAAGGAGGTCCCTGTTCAGTGCCATTTATTTAAGAAATGCAAACAGCTGGAATACGCACCAGGACTTATGGAACGTTCTGTCCACGGAGGATTTGTCCAGCACTGTGTCTGCGGGATTCTGCAAAACATTCTTATTTAAACTGGGTTTTAAACACTATTTTGTAATATTTATGTAATTTATTGGATTAATTTTAGACAGACTTGGGTTTTAGAGTGCTAATTGAGTTTTATTTAGTTCTCGCTTCAATTGCATTTCTATTGGATTTTTTTTTTTTTGCTGATAAGGTTGGCTATGTGCATTACTGAATAAATAAATGTAGGTTTAGACAGTTGAGAGCCCACAAAAATTATGTTTTTGGTGTACAGCTCTCAAAATTCCTCCAGCCAGCTTGCTAGATGGGGAATTCTGGGGTCTGTACTCAAGAGGGCAGTGTTTGGACAATGCAGGGTAAGGCAGTGAAACAGCATTTGAAGTGCCTCTCTTAGACAGACAGTCTGAGTTATGTAAGAACTTGATCACTGTTTCCTAATATATGGGTAGGTTTTCACAGTCCATAGCTCAAATGTCTTCTTAGGTTGGGGTATGTTCACAAGACTTTCTTTGGTCATTATGAACTAAGCTTACATTTAATGGGTTGTTGTAGGTTTTTTCAGGCTATATGGCCATGTTCTAGAGGCATTTTCTCCTGACGTTTCGCCTGCATCCATGGCAAGCATCCTCAGAGATAGTGAGGTGGCCATATAGCCTGAAAAAAGCTACAACAACCCAGTGATTCTGGGCATGAAAGCCTTCGACTTACGTTTAATATTAACTTACTTAATTCTTAGATCATTTATACTTCATAGGAATACAAAGCAGTGTATGCTAAAATGAGTTTGGCTAATTTAAATCATATAAAAACAGTACTGTAAAAATGTTTACTTGATTTATATTCCATCTTTCTTCCACTGTAGTAGCTTACAATGTAAAAGCATATTCAGTAAGCTGAAAAATTAGAACAAGGAAGTCCAAACCAGTTGAAAATGCTTAAAACAATTTAAAGCCACAAGACATGTTCAGCTATAGGAAATACTGTGCAATGGAATCTCTACTTAAGAGAATCTCAACTTAAGAGCATTTTGAGTTAAGAGCTGTCACTTGGCCCAGGTTTAGCTTTGACATAAGAACAATGTTTTGAGTTAAGGGCTAGCGCCAATTTTTCTTTCTTTCTTTCTTTCTTTCTTTCTTTCTTTCTTTCTTTCTTGTTCCATGTGAATGTAGATTTATACATTATTTGTTATTTAGAAAGTACGTTTTCTTATTTTAAAACATGTAACAAAATAAGGGGGGCTTTAGGGAACTGAAACGTATTAATAGCATTTCAATGCATTTCAGTGGGAAAATTCACTTTGAGATAAGAACATTTTGAGTTAAGAGGTTGGTCACCGAATGAATTAAATTCTTAAGTCAAGTTATCCCTGTACAGAGCAGGTCCCAAAGACCTAAATTTGAAATAACCACCCATCAATATGTTTTCAATTCTTACTGGAATTATACCACTATTAGCATTAGTTATTTCTTGGGCAGAGGAGAGTGCTGTGGTAGAGAAGGTCTTTTCCCACATCTTCTCACATTGTGTTTCCCCTATTGTTGAACATTTTATATAGGGAGAAGTTCCCTCAACTTGAAGAGCCTCAAACTGTTTAAGTCTTGAATGTAATTGATAGGACCTTGAGACTGAGACCAGAAGCATAATGAACAGCCAATGTATATGGCTCCTTTGTCATGTTCCAATCAATAATCTAGCTACTCCATTTTGTATAAATTGTAGTTTCCAAGACCTGCTAAAGTACATTTCCACCTATACATCACTATAGTAGTCTAATCCATACTTCCCAGTACATGACTATTATTTATTTATTTATTTATTTGGAGCATTTATTAACCGCCATTCTCAGCCCACTCGGGCGACTCACGGCGGTGTACAGTACAAAAGGCAATTCACACAAAGACAAGTACAACAGCATATTAACCATACAACAATACAACAGTTAAAATTACACTAACTAATCCGCTTCGTCTCGTAATAGAATCGTGACCAATCTCGTATTCCTTGTACCATTCCAGTCGTCTTTACCACATTACTATAGCACTTAATTAAATGCCCTCTCGAACAGCCACGTCTTGAGGCTTTTTCGGAAGGACAAAAGAGAGGGCGCCTGCCTGATGTCTGTAGGGAGAGTGTTCCACAGCCGGGGGGCCACCACTGAGAAGGCCCTCTCTCTCGTCCCCGCTAGGCGTGCCTGTGAGGCAGGCGGGATCGAGAGAAGGGCCTCCCCAGACGATCTCAAGGTCCTCGTGGGCTCATAGGCCAAGATGCGGTCTGAAAGGTATTTTGGGCCGGAGCCGTTCAGGGCTTTGTAGGCCAACACCAGCACCTTAAATTGGGCCCGGTAGCAAATCGGCAGCCAGTGGAGCTGGGACAACAAGGGTGTTGTGTGCTCCCTGTATCCCGCTCCAGTTAGTAACATGGCTGCCGCACGCTGAACCAGCTGAAGCTTCCGGGCCGTTTTCAAGGGCAGCCCCACGTAGAGAGCGTTGCAGTAGTCAAGCCGGGATGTGACCAGAGCGTGTACCACCGTGGCCAAGTCAGACTTCCCAAGGTACGGGCGCAGCTGGCGCACGAGCCGAAGCTGTGCAAATGCTCCCCTGGTCACCGCTGAAACCTGGGGATCCAGGCTCAACGATGAATCCAGGGTCACACCCAAGCTGCGAACCTGCGCCTTCAAGGGGAGTGCGACCCCATCCAGCACAGGCTGTAACCCTATATCCCGTTCGGCCTTGCGACTGACCAGGAGTACCTCTGTCTTGTCTGGATTTAGTTTCAGTTTGTTCGCCCTCATCCAGACCGTCACAGCGGCCAGGCACCGGTTCAGGACCTCGACAGCCTCCTTAGTAGCAGGTGGAAAGGAGTGACAGAGTTGGACATCATCTGCGTACAGATGACACCGCACCCCGAAACTCCGGATGATCTTACCCAGCGGCTTCATGTAGATATTAAACAGCATGGGGGACAGTATGGAACCCTGTGGAACCCCACAAGTCAAAGGTTGTGGGGCAGAACAGGAGTCCCCCAATAACACCTTCTGGGTGCGTCCCTCCAGGAATGAGTGGAGCCACTGCAGAGCAGTGCCCCCAAGGCCCATTTCCGCAAGGCGCCCCAGAAGGATACTGTGGTCGACAGTATCGAAGGCCGCTGAGAGGTCCAGGAGCACCAACAGGGACACACTCCCCCTGTCTAGCTCCCGGCGCAGATCATCCACTAAGGCGACCAAGACCGTCTCGGTACCATGTCCCGGTCTGAAACCAGACTGTGCCGGATCCAGAATATCCGTGTCTCTCAAGAATACCTGGAGTTGTGAGGCCACCACGCTTTCCATGACTTTGCCCAAAAAGGGGAGATTGGAAACAGGCCGAAAGTTGTCGAATTTAGTGGGGTCCAGTGATGGTTTCTTCAACAGCGGTTTTATAACTGCTTGTTTTAAGCACGCTGGAATCTTGCCTTCCCTAAGGGAGGCATTAACCACCACCGTTACCCACTCAGCCAATCCCCCTCTGGCCTCCTTCAGAAGCCAGGATGGGCAGGGGTCTAGGATGGACGTGGTGGGCCTCATTCCTCCAAGTATCTTGTCCACATCCTCGGGTTCACAAACTGAAAAGAATCCATCAAAATAGGACAAGCAGGTGCTCTTGTTACATCCTCTGAGACTGCATTTAACGCGGCGTCCAGCCCAGAACGGATCAAGGCGACTTTGTCTGCAAAGAACCGAGCAAATGCTTCACAGCGCGTGACCGAATTGTCAGGGCTCCCGCCAGAGGTGGCGGGAGTTAAAAGACCTCTAACAATCCGAAACAACTCCGCCGGACGGTTCTTTGCAGACGCAATAGTGGCCGCAAAGAAAACTTTCTTTGCGGCCTTTATTGCCGCGGCATATGCCCTAAGAAAGGACACAAACCGTGCTCGGTTTGACTCGCTTGGATCCGAACGCCACACGCTCTCTAGTTCCCTCTTCCTTCGCTTCATCACTGCCAGCTCCTCGGTAAACCAAGGGGCTGGTTTAGCTCGGCTACTTGAGAGGGGACGCTCCGGAGCGATCATGTCAATTGCCCTGGTCATCTCCCCATTCCAGAGAGCGACCAAGGCCTCGACATGGTCACCTACCGAGGTGGCAGGAAAATCCCCAAGAGCCGTCAGGAATCCATTCGGATCCATCAGTCTCCTGGGGCGGACCATCTTAGTGGGTCCTCCACCCTTGCAGAGGTTAGGGGGCGCAGTGAACCTAAATCTGACTATCCTGTTTGGGATGACTGGCAGGAGAACCTGGGGGTGGAAAATGGGTGGCTCTCTCATCCTAAACTGTGCTACTTGGTCTGATGGAAAATGCAGTCCAACATCTAGAGGACCACACATTTTCATACTCCTTGGCTTAAAGTACTTGGAACAGAGTGGAAGTCAGTAGTTTTGTACATAAAAGCTAAATCTGTGGCCTTTAATCATTTAAATTAATAATTCAGAGCCCTCTTCAGTAGACCAGAAAGGCATCTGAGATTTAATCATGCAACACTTGAAAAGAAAAGAAGATGAATTACTATTCTTTTAAAATTTTTATTATAAATACTTATAAAAACTGCAGGTGGGAGGCTGTGTCTTAGAAGAGGCATTCCCTTGTTACTGTCTCCTTCGAAGATAGTTCCTGCTGCAACAGTTATGTATCTCATTTGAAAAACAAAGGGAATGAGCTTTTTTTCTTGTGAACTGCTGGGTGCTGGAGCCCCAAAACATATGGAACACTGCTATTTGCTCATCCTTGGCTCAGTCAGGAGCAGCCTTAACGAAAGTCCATTTTACATTCTCTCTGTTTCCCACAGTGCAGCATTACATATCTATCATGTCACCACATCTTTTAGCCTCAGGACGAAGGGCTTTTTTTGGTGGTGGTGGGAAGTTTCAGTGCTTGGTAGAACCCATGGCCAATTAATGGAATCAACTGTGCCAGTTTATATTATTTTAAAGTTCTCATTGCCAGTAAGACTAAAGAAATACACTGTAGATTTTTAGAATGATGGGGAAAAAAAAGGTACAAAACAGGGACAGTCAGTGGCCTCTGGAATCATGGGGAAAGGGGGCATGGCTTTTGATTAGACAGTTCCCCAGATAATTTTGGCTCCCAGCTATGACCCAAAATTTAGTCCTTGCACTTTACTACTGCTCCTTCCCTTCTGCCCTGTATTCCTAATTTTGTCATCTGGCTTTTGCAGTTTATCCACTAGCCCTGTCCTCACAACTGATTTGCATCAGCCCATCTGCCCAAGCCCAGAAATTGTTTACTTCTCAGGCCATTGGTTGTTTGCTCGGTGGTTGTTTATATATTGTGTTATGCTGTTGTTTGCTTTATATTGTTTTATGATGTTGTTTTATGAACTTTAGTGTGTTATATTTTAACTACATTGATTGGGTTCGTCCCCATATAAGCTATCCCAAGTACCATTGAGGAGATGGAGGCGGGATAAAAAAATAAAGGTGTTGTTGTTGTTGTTGTTGTTGTTGTTGTTGTTGTTGTTGTTGTTATTATTATTATTATTATTATTATTATTTGAAACACAACAAAATGAGTCCACAGCAGACACTCTGCTGGCTGTTGTATTGAATCACATGTCGGACACTTCCCAAGTGTCTAGGACTATGTGATGTATCGGCGAATAATGCATGTAGATCCCAGTAGGGTGGTCTTTTGCAGCTGACAGTAATTTTGTTACCGCTGATTGTGTTTAAGTGCAGGCCAAGGTCTTTAGGCACTGCATTCAGTATGCTGATCACCACTGGGACCACCTTGACTGGCTTGTGCCAGAGTCTTTGCAGTTCGATCTTTAAATCCTCGTATCATGTCAACTTTTCCAGTTGTTTCTCTTCAATGTCACCTGGGATTGCAACATCGACAATCCATACTTTGTTTTTTAACACGATTGAGAGGTCAGGAGTATTGTGCTCCAAAACTCTGTCTGCCTGAATTCGGAAGTCCCAGAGAAGTTTGACATGTTCATTTTTCTGTAACTTTTTCAGGCTTGTGATCCCACCAGTCCTTTGTTGCAGGCAGATGGTATTTGTGGCACAAATTTTATTGAATCATCTGAGCAACTTTGTTAAGCCTCTGCTTGTTGTCTGTCTGTGTGATCTTCTTGCAGCAACTGAGGATGTGATCTATTATTATTATTATTATTATTATTATTATTATTATTATGGCTAGCTGGGGATCAGAGCTATACAGATCAAAATAGACTTGGTCTTGTGGGCTGCCATTAAGTTATATCTGTGCCCATGCATGTATATATGCTTTTAAGTTTCCTGTTGATTTATGGCAAAATACTCAGAAATACTCAGAAGTAGTTTTGCCATGCCTTTTCTCTGCAATATAGCCTACAGCATCTGTTGTTTCTTGATGGACTCCTATCCAGGTACTAATCAGGAATGACCTTTGGGGCATATTCCCCCAAGATAAGATAGGATCTGGTGCCTTTAAGATATATAGACAAAACCAAAAATCTCTATCAAGAAGCTGGGGTCCCATGGAAGGTATGCAGTCAGGCTACACCACACATGGGCAAACTTTGACCCTCCAGGTGTTTTGGACTTCAACTCCCACAATTCCTAACAGCTGATATTGTGGGAGTTGAAGTCCAAAACACCTGGAGAGTCGAAGTTTACCCATGCATGGCTACACCTACTGGCTGAGCATTGTTCCTGGGTAGTGTTTGTCTGCTTAGATTGCTGAATACTTTAAACAATTATTGTAGTGATGGCCAAATCTGCACCATCACCTGCCTGTAATAGCAAATAGCCCAATCTCTACTGCAGATATTTTGAGTTGTAACTCATATAATTCAGTACCGTTGAGGTAGAAGTCCAAAGCATCTGGAGAGTCAAAGGCTCCTCAGTCCTTCACAAAGATGTACAGCATATATATGAGTTTTTGTATCTTCTTGTCACTGATAGGAACTGATATTTTAGTCAGTTGATAGGGATCAGAATGAGAAAAATCTCAATAAGCTTTGCTTGCTAAAATGGCTGTGTGGGTGGCACAGTTCTATATATTCAAGCAGAGCCTGAAAACATTACTTTTTTGTGGGGTCATAATTCTCAGAATCCCCATGGCATGCTGTGCTTTTGAGTGCTCTCTCTTTTGCTTCTTGAGAGCTATTGTCCACACTTTATGGCTTTTGTCTCAGTTCCTATTGCTTTTGTCTCTGTTCCAACTGTAAGTAAAATCATGTCCAATTGTCTTTCTTTCAGGGCTCAACAGCTCTTGAAGATCCAGGCAGCAGCACGACAGAAAGGCAACAGGATTAAGGTGAGCAAGGTTAAAGAAATTGGAGGGTGGGGGAGATTTGGAAACCACACAGACAAGCTTCTAGGGTTGCAACTGGGATAACATTAGTTTTGGACTCATTTTGTTGTACTATTTTTCTTTGATTCAGCCTTCACTTGAATAATCAGTCTATATTCATTATTGTGAAATAATCTTTGATGCATGTGTAGGATTTTAAATCATGAGTTATAATGATATATTTTTGTGTAATTTTGATGTGTTAAGCTGTTGTGAGCACGTGTCTACTATCATCAAGAGACCTACAAGTAAGTATCATACTAGTGGTGATGATATGTGGATTGCAAAGAAGGAGATAACTATTTTATTCTAGGTTTCCTCTTTTCACATCCTGCCTTCCTTCCATTGAGATAAAGTGGTCATACATGGCTCTCCTTCTCTCTGCTGTCTTCACAATAAATCTTAGAAGGAAGGTCAGGCAGCGAGGGAGAAGGAGAGACTTGTGGAGTGTAGAAGTTGGACAACTTGCTCTCATAGGTTCAGGAAGAACTGTAGCAGAGGTCCAAGAACTGTTCGCAGTAGTATAGCAATGTGGCTATTGTTATTGATGATGGATTTATTACTGTGTTCTCTTACTGGAGGCTCAAAGTGATGTCTTTCATTGTTATCTTGAGGTATTTTGTAAAGAAAAATGGAGGAAAGAGAAACCTTTAATTACCCAAATGCCACTTCTCCATACTTGGGATTTGTATCTAAAAGCAGTGTCAGTTTTGACTTTCAGTAATAAATGTGTAGCTGTCATTTGGTGAGCATATGAGTGGAACATTCTTGTGGTTTGTGCCTCGCTTTCCCTTTTCTCCCTTCCTAACCTTTTTTTGCTTCATTTTAGCTGAAGAAACGAGCCTTGGACCAACTTCGCCTGATGAAATATAAGAACAAAGAAGGCCAGAGTGAGACCTTTTGGCCAGATTCTTGCCTAGGTAATTCTACTGCTACCATCTCTGACCTTATTCATGAGGGAAAGACTTTCTTTTGAATTAATGTTCTGTTCCATATCAGTGGGGCCTGAGGATACTTGTCTGAATGTATCTCCCTCTATGTCCCGCCTCGCAGTTTCAGATTATCCAGGGAGGCCCTACTCTCAGTCCTGCCAGCTTTGCAAACTTGATGGGTGGGGATGAGGGACAGGGTCTTCTTGGTGGTGGTCCCCCGCCTGTGGAACTCACTCTCCAGCAAAATTAGGTCAGCTCCATGCCTCATTTCTTTTAGAAAGAAGCTTAAATCATGGTTCTGGGACCAGGCTTTTGAATAGCAGGTACGATAGCACTTGTAATGTTTGAAGAATTGAGTTGCCAATTGGCTGAGAAAGGCGGTATACAAATGCAGTAAATAAATAAATAAATAAATAAGAATTGACTTTGGACATGCTCTGAATCTTTGGTTGTTGAATTGGACTGGAAATGGCTACATGGTTTGATAATAATGTTTTAAATTGTTTTAACTTGATGCATTATATATTGTTTTAATTTGTTTGTTATATTTGTTTGTATGTTGCGGCATCGAATCGTTGCTGTTTGTAAGCTGCCCTGAGTCCTCCTTTGGGGGTTGAGAAGGACGGGGTATAAATATTTGAAATAAATCCATCAATAAATAAAATATTACTTTCTTGAATCACAGCTCTCAGGATCATCTAATTGCTACTCTGGCCCCTTCCACACAGTTGTATAAAATCCTAAATTATCTGCTTTGAACTGGGTTATGTGACAGTGTGGACCCAGTTCAAAGCAGGTATTGTGGATTGTCTGCCTTAATATTCTGGGTTATATGGCTGTGTGGAAGGGCCCTCAGCAGATGGTGTTCTCTGTCTTCTGTATACAGATGGGCTTATGAAACCTTACAGTCCTGTACATCCTCTGGTGGTGCCAAACCATCGCCCTGTTGTGATCTCACCAAGCTGCTTAGCCTCCTGGGTCATCAGGAATCTTGTGGGTCTCCCTTCTTCACATCAGGACTTTTGTGTGTTCCCAACTGGTAAGCTGAGATGCCTGAGTGACTGAAGAAACCTGCAGGATGTTAGTATCAGGGAAGTCATGCTACCCCTCTATTCTGCCTTGGTCAGAGCACACCTGGAATCACACTATGTCCAATTCTGGGCACCGCAATTGAAGGGAGATGTTGACAAGATGGAATAAGTCCTGAGGAGGGCAACAAAAATGATCAAAGGTCTGGAGAACAAGCCCTATGAGGAGCAGTTTAAAGAGCTGGGCATGTTTAGCCTGCAGAAAAGAAGGATGAGAGGAGACATGATGGCCAGGCATATATATGTGAGGGGAAGTCATAGGGAGGAGGCAGCAAGCTTGTTTTCCGCTCCCCTGGAGACTAGGATGCGGAACGATGCCTTTAAACTACAGGAAAGGAGATTCCACCTGAACATTAGGAAGAACTTTCTAACTGTGAGAGTTGTTCAGCTGTGGAACTCTCTGCTCCGGAGTGTGGTGGAGACTCTTTCTTAGGAGGCTTTAAACAGAGGCCAGATGGCCATTTGTCGGGGGTGCTTTGAATGTGACTTTCCTGCTTCTTGACAGGGGGTTGGACTGGCAGGCTTTTTGGCTTCTTGGCAGGAGGTTGGACATAGAGGTCTCTTCCACCTCTATGATTCTATGAATAGGCAACCTGAAGGCACATAGATAAATATGAGATGCTGCCTGTCTTATAAGGGACAAACTTTCTGCCCCTCAGATAGGGGACACTTGGCAAGTCTACTGATGAAGCATCTTTCTTCTTAAACTGGGTGGGAAAATTAAAACTTTGACTGAGTGCTTAGCATCCCCACCTCTCCATCTGGAGAGCCCATATCCTGGTGCAGGGAAACAGTATTCCCCAAATCTACATATATGTAGCTCATATCAATGGACTGCAATGTCATAACAAATAACATTATTTACCAGTAGAGTGATTCTGAAACAATCAAAGGATTTTGTAATGGATCTGTGAACTACCTTGGGGTTGTGTTGGTTAGGTCAATGTGTGTCATCAAAACTGAAGGTTCAGGTGGTTTTTATTGGGTCAAGTGGTGGGGCCAATGCAGTGGGCCTTGAAGAAAGGGATTACTCCTTGGTGGAGCCGCATAATTGGTCATAATAGACAGCCAGTGCTATCTTGAGACAGAGCCGAGATGACCATCCTGGATGTTGTGGGACAGCAGTGGCATTCTGTTGCTGTTCCTTCTGAGCCTTTTAATGGTTTGGCTTTGTTGGAGGATAGAACTATATGTGCTTCATAGTCTGCCCCATTGCTCTAAACTGGCCTGTTTCACTCAGGTGTGGCTGACAATACTGTTATGTCCTAGAAAGAGGAGTTATCTCAGATATTATAACATCTAGAATGAAATCTAGCTGCAGATCTTTAAAAGAAAATAGGGGTCTAAACCAGCCTTTCTCAACCTTGTGCCTCCTGCCCAGTGTCAGTGGATAAAGGAAGTTAGAGTCTGGATTGCCCTAAATTGAGGAATGCTGGCAAAGGGCTTCTATTCATTCCAGTTTGTCTTGAGCTCCTTATCCCAGTGTTAGTGCCACTTTACTCTTCCTCTCTGCACATGGGTCTCCTTACCTTTTCTTGCAAAAGAAAAAAGAGAACTGGTCAAAAATTGGAAAAAGATTAAAAAGGAAAGATATATTGTATTCGGTAATAAGACCCAGTTTGTTCAATAGACCATACTTGCAATAAGTGTTCCTAGGGTTGAAGCCTTAGGCTGTGTTTCTCTGCTCACATAATTGGAAGCCAATGTCATTGAATTCTCTGGGATTTACTTCTGATAAGACATGCACTGCAGGATCCAGGCATTGTGTCTGACCCTAGCATTCAGGATCATTTTGTTGCACATATTGGCATTTTCTCCCCGAGAGTCTTTTTCTTTTGTGGCTACTCTTGTTGCTTCTTTTCACAGATGCCCTTGAGGAACAAAGGCTCTCCTTTGCCTCCTCCAAGAACAGTGTTAATGCTGATAGGATCTCTCAAAGGCAGAAGGATTGCAGGACGATCCGTGCTATCCAAGAAGCTATTGGAAAGGTGAGAAGTAAAGCCAGCAGCTGCATTGCTGATAGAATGGGCTAAATAAAGTATTATGCTAAGTCGGCTGTAGGGACGGACTCCAGGTTATATCCCACATTCAGAAGAAATCATCTAAGATGACTCCCTTTACTAATGTGGCTAAATAGAGAGACCAAGTATCTAAGAATGATGGTATAAAGGATCTGACACTGTATTCAGGGGAAAAAATCAGTACTTACTGTACAGGAGACCTCTGGGGAGCCTGCCAGCCACCTGCTTCTGCCTCCTGAAAGAATGAGAAGAAGGTGGAAGTGGGCAGATGGTGGAAAAAAGTTTGGAATTTAGGAGCACTTTTGATTTTTCCATTAGCGTTGCGCAACCTGTATTTATTTTTGGTGGAATGGTGCATTGACAATAATGCCTCGCAGACAAGTGTGGTCAGTTATCATTTCATGTTAGGTCATTTTTCTTGCCTTCTCTGAAGAAAGAGCTGCAAGACAGTGGGTCCTGTAGGTCTGTGAACTGGATTGCTATCCTTGTCAAGCTCGAAAGACTGAGTGCTTCTGAAGGTGGCTGCAGGCTTCTACTTCCAACCACCCAGACATTTTGAACACCCAGCCTATTATATATCAGATGACCCTGCCTTTTGATTGTCTCTTTTTCTTCATAGGGTTGGTTGTAAATCCCACCTTTTAATGGAATTACTATTGGAAAAGCAATGATATTTTGCAGTGTGTGGTGTTTGATTTAATGTAAGTTGTCAGGTCTGGCTTATTTCTTTTCCATTTGAATCAGTAAATCTCTTGAATTTCCTTGCAGAGTAAACACTGCCTGCTAGATCTGGAGGTCCAGGTGGTGAAGGATCTAATTAAAAGTGAAATACACCCCATTGTTGTCCATGTTGAGGTCACTGAGAAGAACATCAGGGGAGTCAGGTATGAGGAGGCTTTTTCTAGGCTGACAAAAATTATGAGTTGGATGGGATGTGGGAAGCTAGTTACCTTCAGTGAATACAGCAGGAACATGGGCTGGAAGGGGAGTCCCTGCTTGTACAAGGTAGTACCTATTTATTTTCAGGGTTTGTATGAAGATTTGTTTGTCACCCTTGGTTATTTCTGGTTGCAATTGTTGCAGGACAAGGAAAACTGTGAACATGAATGATTGTGATTGTTGGGTCTTTTATGGGTCATTCCTATCCATGTTTTCATGGATGTAAGTAAAGATTACTGTGTTCATTACTCACAGATTACTGTGCGCAGGATTGCAGCTGAATCTTTGTAGATGCTGCTGAACCTGAATTAATGTCATTGGGCTTCCTTGAGCAGAAGCTGAGCTCCAAATACAAACCACAAACCTTTCATCCAAATCATGTCAGCCAAATTATGTTGGCACCCGAGACAGGAAACCTCACAAACGCCACTCCCTAGCTCTGACAGTAAAACTAGAAGAGCAAATTAAATAACCACTATGTACTGTTCTTTGGTGCCATCTCAAATCTGCAGCTCAGGGCAGCTGCTCCACTCTCCCTAATGGTAGGGTATATAGTGCCCAAACTCAGCCAAATTATTTTGGCATATATGAGGCAGAAAATTCCCCAGACACCTCTCTCCCAATCCTGGCAGTCAAAATACATCAAAACAAACAGCAATTTACTGCCCTTTTGTGAGCATTGCAGATCTGTTCCCTGAAGCAGCCACCTCTTCTCTGTAATCATAGGGCCTCCTCCATTGAAGACCATCCAAGGAAACCACTGTGAGCTTGGCAGTACATGGATGCATCTGTCTGCTTTTGGGAGTGCCTTGATTATGTGTTCCTACATGATGGGATTGAGTTGGATGGACCTTGTGGTTTTTTTCCAGCTATATGATTTCTGTCAACATGAGGATGGAAGGAAGTGGGAACAACCTTGACAGCGACGTTGCTCCATGCCGTACTTGATATGGAAGGGATTGTCTTTCAAAAACAGGGGTGGACAATTGTGGAATGATGAAGAGCACATTATCTCCCAGGAGTCCATGGAGTGCAGCATCCTCCTGATATGCCTACTCCTGCAAAAATGCACCCAGATTCCCCCAGGTGTCCTCTAGAGGATATGGGGGAATTTGCACCATATCTTAAGGTCTTCCTGGGATATTTTAGGTCGTGTGCTGGACTCACTTATTAAAAAGGCTTCTCCAGGACATATAATTCTCTAGGGACATCCAAAATGTGATTGAAATATCCCCCTAGGTTTATATCTGCTAGGAATCCTCTCTTTTAAAATCCCCATTGCATCAGCTTTCTATTAGGAAAAAAGGGATGGGCAAAGTATAGCACTTGGTTTGCACTCAGCTTACCAGGGTGCCCAAGACTTTAACACTCTTATCTTTAATTTCATTGTCTGCAAAAGCAAAAAGTGTTCTTGAGAAGCTTCCGGGATTGTATTGTGCCATTGAAATCCAACTTTCCTTCTGCTTTATCTCCTCCTTTTGTGGTTTTAGGCCTTAAAGGAGTTTTTAAAAAGCAGAAAGGAAAAGAAACTGGTAAATCAAGGTCATGTTAGACAAACGGTTGTCAGTCATTTATTGTTTATAACAGCTTTGTTACTGAGACTTCAAAATTGCAAATTGGTAAACACTGTTTACAAACTTTGCTGCCTTTTATACACATAAGAGAAGCTCTCTTTCTGAGCAGAAAGCAAGCAAATAAAACATTGTGTAGGCTAGAAGCACAGTGGGGGGTAAGAGAGAAGCAGCAAACTCTGTTTCTCCTTCTCAGGCTTTTGCTTTTCTGTAGTGGATCTGGAGAAAGTGGAGTTGCATCCCCAACAACCAGCACAGATGCCTAATGAATTGACAAAGGGGAAATGGCATCATTTTGCCTTTTCCAGATTGCTTGGCTTTTAAACTCTGTGGAGGAAGCACTGTGTTTCCTCTATGGCTGGTAGAGATGCTAAGTTGGCTGATAAAGGAGGGACATTCTGTCACCCCTTCTTTAGCCTGCTCGAGCCCCAGGTGAATAGTTAAATTCCAGGTTGGTTTACAACTCTGGCTATTGTTGTTTTTGTTTATCTGTTCAGTCACTTCTGACTCTTCGTGACCTCATGGGCCAGCCCTCGCACTTATGGATGCGAGATCTGGACCATAAAGAAGGCTGAGCGAAGGAAAATAGATGCTTTTGAACTGTGGTGTTGGAGGAAAATTCTGAGAGTTACTTGGACTCTAAGAACATCAAACTAGTCCATACTCCAAGAAATAATGCCTGACTGCTCACTGGAAGAAAGGATATTAGAGACAAAGATGAAGCACTTTGGCCACACAATGAGAAGACAGGAAAGCTTGGAGAAGATAATGATGTGGGGAAAATGGAAGGGTGCCAGAGCTTCTTGTCAGTCATGGCCACCCCCAGCTCCTTCAAGGTCAAGCCAGTCACTTCAAGGATAACATCCATCCATCTTGCCCTTGGTCAGCCTCTCTTCCTTTTTTCTTCCATTTTTCCCAGCATCATTATCTTCTCCAAGCTTTCCTGTCTTCTCGTTATGTGGCCAAAGTACTTCATCTTTGCCTCTAATATCCTTCCCTCCAATGAGCAGTCGGGCATTATTTCCTGGAGTATGGACTGGTTTGATCATCTTGTGGTCCAAGGCACTCTCAGAATTTTCTTCCAACACAACCGTTCAAAAGTGTCTATTTTCCTTCGCTTAGCCTTCCTTATGGTCCAGCTCTCACAACCATAAGTTACTATGGGGAATCCCATTGCTTTAACTGTGTGGATCTTTGGGATGTCCCTACTCGTCACTATTAGGTGTTCACTATTCACTCAGGCTATTAGGTGTTCAAAAAGAGGTTATCAACCCCTGGATTTTTTTTTTTAAAAAAGAAGGCAAATAGTAGCAGTAAAGCCTCCCTGGGAGACATTCTTACCCATCTTTTACTTAAATACCTAACTCGGGGGGCTGATGTTTTTTAGGATATACTGTCATTTCATGCAGGATGATTCTAGTCTGAGCCAGCTTTCTGTATTAATTGGTCACAATTTGGAAAATGTATGTTATTGGAGGCTGCAACTCTCAGGGCCCTTCCACACAGCCATATAACCCAGAATATCAAGGCAGATAATCCACAATATCTGCTTTGAATTGAGTTATCTGAGTCCACACTGCCATATAACCCAATTCAAAGCAGATAATGTGGGATTTTATATAGCTGTATGGAAAGGGCCTCAGCATCCTCTAGGTAGAAAGGAGTTTTTGTATAAAAAAGTAACTTTTCTCAGCTCTGGAATGTGTTATGAACTCCTAGAATGTATCTTGAATTTCCAGTAGTTCATTTGCACACAGAAAGCATGCAGAACATTATAGCAATCCACTACATTAGACTGTAGTCACATGTCACACATAAGTATGTTGAAAGTTGCCTTAAGGGTTCATTTAGTTCACTATTATTGTAACTGCATGGTTTCAGGATGGGTGTTCTTTCCTAGCCCTTTCTGGAGATATGGAAGGATGATCTAAAGCTTTTATTTAAATATGCATGGACTGCCAGGGTTTGCCAAGTGCTAAAGGTTGACGGCTTTGTTTTGGGCTGTTACTGTGTCCTCAGCTGTCAAAAAATCTAAGATCCTTCAGCCAGAAATCTGAAATGTTTGCATCTGCTAGCGATGCAGGTATAATGTAATTTGTAATGTTGCAGTAGTGCAACGGGCAATGGAGACACCAGCCAAAATATTTCCTTGGCAGCCCATCAGTTCTTGGGATCAGACCATTAGACTTCTGCGTGCTTAAACTAACATGCTTGACTTAGCCCATCTCTGCTACTGCATTATTCATAGCATCCAGAAGAATATACTGATGGTGCATTTCTCCTCTTCTGTGCTTTCCTCCTAGGAGTTTACTTGGGAAACCAGGCCGGCGTGATTCTGACTTGCTGAAGGAATGCAGGAGGGCTGAGATTGCACTCCACACTTTGCCCTGCTCGTGGGCTTGGGTGGATCCCCAGGCTTGGGGTAGTGCTGAGGAGCTGGTGAAGGTGGTACGGGCCCAAGTGTTCCAGGAGCAGACCAGGATAGTGTGGGTTGAAGAGAATGATGTGTGATCTTGCTATGACTTTGGGATGTCTATGGAAAAGTGGCCTCTGCGGGACAGTGGCTTGGACTCCATGATTTGCCAAGGTTTCTTCTGGACCTGAGATTCAGACCATTCATTCAACCTGTACACTTGGGTGTCTTTGGGGTCCAGTCATTTCTTTGATTAGCCTGAAAATGGGAGAAATCTCATATGAAAAGTGCCTCTCCATTTCATTGCTTCTTCAGTATTTCCAAATCAGCCAGTGTCTGATTCAACAACATCCACTTAACTGTCCCAGATCCTGTATCTTTCCCTGATTCTTTTTTCTTCATCAGTTCAGCTCCTACCAGGGTTGTGTGTATTGGTTGGGAGAGGAAGGGGCCAGAGGGAAGATGTTTTTGCATACATTTACATATGTGGACATAGAATGTCCACCCCCTTGGCCTCAGCAACTGTAAGTGGGTTTGTGACACATTCATGTTGTTGTGGTTTCTCAGTTGTGTGTAAATTTTTAATGGAGTTTTTGTGTGTGTAGAAGATCTGTTTATTAAATGTGGACTAAATTGGATTTCCAAGGAAACGAGTCACTCATTGTTTCTTTCAGTGTTAGCTGGACAAAAGTGTGAGAGCTTCTCATCTTGATTCTAGGCAGGGCCATCAAGAGCAGATTCAAGCCTTTGAGAAGATATTATTTGGGTTCACTAGTTACAGTTGCCAAATTTTTCAACCTGTCATATGAAATAGTTATTTCTGTTAGTAGACAAGCTCAGAATTGGCTGGTACTCATAAGGCAGGTCAGTATAAAGCCCAACAGAACTCCCATGAAAACAGGGCTGCTTGTAATAATTCCATATTATTATATGATTAGTGCTCTCCTGGGAGTCCAGAATTCTTGCCTTTATGAGTCTTGGTTTGAATTTTACATAGCCTACCTCATGTTACCTGGGCCTGTAGAACTGCAGAATAAGAAAAGTGGGTGTCAGCTGTGCTTACAACTGATGGACCCGCTCAGCCTTTGGTATGTATGTTGAGGCCATTTTGATACATACCACTTTTCCTGCTCACTCCAAAAGGACTGAATTTGAAACATCTGTTCCTCAAAGACAAATGTATATGTAACATAGTTGGGCTTTAGGCCTCCTTCTGGATCACTAGACCTCAATAATTTGTGTTGTCTCCTCACTCCCCGCACAGAACTCTGATCCAAGGATGGACTCCTGTTTTGTTTTTTAGTTTTTCCTTCCTGTGTTGTATCTCCCATTCCCTTCCTGGCTTTTGTGCTAGCAGAGGCCCAAACTGTGCCAGTGAAATGGCTGTCTAGCTAAAGAACAATAGCCTTGTGACCAACATTCTTGCAGGCCTGGCCCTATTAGTAGGCATAGTGAGACAGCTACTACAGGTGGCAAATGCAGAGGAGCAGCAGCAAGGTTTAGGAGGAGAACTTTATGTCTAGACCTTAAACTGCTGACCTCAGGTGCAGGACAGACAGCGCTTTGAAAAATTACTTTTTGACTACACCTCCCAGGATCCTCCAATAACTATGCTGATTGGGAGTTTTTGAGAGCAGAAGTCTATAAAAGTACCTTTCCCAAACTCAGCATGGAGAATGCAAGAGTCATATAATGAAATCAAACTATTGGTCTGATCAGTGTCTGCATATGTATGAATAGAAACACTATCTTGCCTTTTTTCTCAGACAGCAAAGTGTCTTAGGCTGGACCTACTGTGGAACTCTCTCTTTACACACACACCCACACAAACACACACACACACCTTATTTATATCCCATATATCTGCCCATGGGGATCCAAGGCAGCTAAAAGCCACATACTTTGGCTCCCATTTAAAACAAAACAAATACAATAATTAAAAAACAGTAATGTGCCTACCCCTGGTGGCACAGTGGGTTAAACCACTGAGCTGCTGAACTTGCTGACCGAAAGGTTGGAGGTTCGCATCTGGGGAGCAGGGTGAGCTCCCGCTGTTCGGCCCAGCTTCTGCCAACCTAGCAGTTTGAAAACATGCAAATGTGAGTAGATCAATATGTACCACTTCTGTGGGAAGGTAATGGTGCTCCATACAGCCATGCTGGCCACATGACCTTGGAGGTGTCTACAGACAACGCTGGTTCTTCGGCTTAGAAATCAAGAAGAGCACCCCCCCTCCCCCCCCAGAGTTGGACACAATTAGACTTAATGTCAGGGGAAATCTTTACCTTTACTAATGTGTGAGTTAAGTTGAAATCCCTGGGCAGTTCCATATTTTGCATTTCATAATAGGTTTTTTGGTCTTTAAGTTAATCCAAGTATGTGTGTTATGTCATCTTAAAGAACAACAAATACAGACTAATACCATTCATTCCCCCTTTGGAAATCATTAATTCACATAACAATACAATAATACATAAAACCAGTGTTTCTCTCACTGCCTTCATCTTCCTGTTTGCTGTGGTGGTGGAGAGCCAAGAATTTGCTACACATAAATATGAGCCAACATTTCCAAATTATTTCAACTCTTTGGTTTGAAGATTATGCAAATGATAAACCTGAATTTGGTATGGTTCCTATCAACAATTGTTGGCTGGTGTTCCCATGAGCCAGAGTCAAAGATCATGTCAGATATAACCACTGCTGCTTTGTTCCTCTCTGCTGCATTTGGCAGAAGGATGGGCAGATTTTCAGCTGTTTGTACTCTAGCTTCATTCAGGTCTTTCCGCACTCAACAGGCATTCTTATCATTCATGGGAGCAAAGTTCAAACACAGCAGAGCTGGTCAACAACATTAAAACCATCTTAGAGACCTTGGCAAATAAAAATGTCTTCCAGCCAGCACCACAGAGACATCACATTCAGCACAAGGCAGGAGGCTCCCTTCATGAGGAAATCATTTGGTGGGTCAAATCTGCCTGAAAAATCACCCACCTGTTTTGTTTGCCATTGCAAGAGGGTGTGTATGCTTTCTGTGGGTACAATGTTTTGACAACATAGTAGTTTGAGAAGCAGATTATATTAATTTCTTCATGTGTGTGTGTGTGTGTGTGTGTGAGAGAGAGAGAGAGAGAGAGGGGGGGTATTTTAATTTGTATTGTTATTTTAAGATTGTTATGGCCAAGTGGGGTCCTCTGGTGGAGTAGTGAGTTAAATGACTGAACTTGCTGACCGAGAGGTCAGCAGTTCAATCTGGGGAGCAGGGTGAACTCCTGCTGTTAGCCAATGCTTTTGCCAACGTAGCAGTTTGAAAACATGCAAATGTGAGTAGATCAATAGGTACCACTTTGGCGGTAAGGTGGAGAAGAAGAACTCAACAGGTTCCTGGAACATCTTAACAGCATCCACCCAAACATCCAGTTCACTATGGAAAAAGAAAAGGAAGGAAGACTGCCTTTTCTAGATGTCCTAGTCATCCGTAAACCAGATCAACAATTGGGTCACACCGTTTACAGAAAACCCACACACACAGATAGATATCTACATAAAAACTCCAACCATCACCCAAGTCAAAAAAGAAGCACCATTAAAGCCTTGGCAGACCGTGCAAAAAGAATCTGTGAACCCCACCTCCTCCAAGATGAACTGAACCACCTCAACTGGGCTCTCCAGGCCAATGGATACTCCACCTCAGACATCAGAAGAGCTGCAAGACCAAGAACAAGCCACGAGAGTAAAGATGAAGATCCACCCAGAGGAAAAGTGTTCCTGCCATACATCAAGGGAACCACTGACCGCATAGGGAAGCTGATGAGGAAACACAACATACAAACAATCTACAAACCCACCAAGAAAATCCAACAAATGCTACGTTCAGCAAAGGACAAGAGGGATCCTCTCACCTCTGCAGGAGTCTACCGTATACCATGCAGCTGTGGACAAGTCTACATAGGGACCACCAAACGCAGCACCAAACACGAATCAAGGAACATGAAAGGCACTGCAGACTACTCCAACCAGAGAAATCAGCCATAGCAGAGCACCTGATGAACCAACCTGGACACAGCATTTTATTTGAGAACACAAAATGCTGGACCACTCTCACAACCACCATGTCAGACTACACAGAGAAGCCATTGAAATCCACAAACATGTGGACAATTTCAATAGAAAGGAAGAAACCATGAAAACGAACAAAATCTGGCTACCAGTATTAAAAAATTCTAAAATTGCAACAGCAAAAACAGCAGCGAGAAAAACAGGCAGGGACATCTAATCACCTTTCAAGAAGAGTTTGCTTCAGGCACAGTCAGCCCATTGTATGCTAATCAAGGTGGTCAGTTGAAAGATTCACACCTAGCCCAACTTACAAAAGCCCTTTGTCTCACCCTGGTCATTCATTCCCAGTTCCAGCAGACCTCACCTCTGAGGATGCTTGCCATAGATGCAGGCGAAACGTCAGGAGAAATGCCTCTAGAACATGGCCATATAGCCCAAAAAACCCCACAAGAACTGAATACCAATCAAATTTGCAAGTGATCAAATTTGCAGAACAGTACATTTTATTTAACAGGCTTGGATATCAAATGAAGATGTTCCATAATTTCTCACTCCACATTTCTATAGTCCTTTTGCCTTTCTTCCTCTTTCCTCATTGTAGGACACTGTAAATGTTCTGCCTGGGACTCTTAGGCAAGACAGCAAGATGAGTCAAATGCAGCTCAGCTAGGTATACTGCCATCAAAACTAAAAATATCTTGGGTTTGGTTCCAGATTTTGACAAAATTTCCTGTCTTTACACATTGTGTGCATCTAGGGAATGGACCATAATATAATGGGCAAGTACATGTTTTGCATAGAGAAGTCCATGTCCTGTCACTTATCATCAAATATATTACAAAAGATCAGATGGGAAGTTATAGGAAAGAAGTCTTCACTGTCAGCAGAGTCAAATCAGACAATTTGGTATTAAATGGAGAAATAGCCTGATCCAGATATAAGTTGCTTCCTACGATGCAGTGAATGAAGACCATTTGTCATGAATGCTTTGACTGTATTTTTCCTATGGTAGGGAGTCTGGCTGGATGGTGCATGTGGTTTCTTCCAGTTCTATGATTCTATATAAGAGGAAATATATAGAATCATAGTGTCAGTGGACAAGTAAGGAGATTTAAAGATAATCTTAAAGCTAATCTGAAAATGTGGTATAAACACCAAGAACTCAGAATCCTTGGCCCTTGAGAGTTGTAACTGGAGGTCAACTGTCACCACTGGAGAAATCACACTGTTTAGCTGGTATTGCACCATGTGACATCTGCCGGGAAGTAGCAGCCAGTAATGAAAAGACCAAGGCATTGACATCTCCGGCCCATCCTCTGTTCAGATATCAGCCTGCATGCTAATACCTTAAATCAAGTAACAGATTCTACAGAGATACTTGAAGGAACACCTCAGCAAGCAAGAGTCCAGAAGTGGCAGGCTAAAATCCAGCACCTCAATCTGGCTGAGACCGAATGAGAAACTCCCTCCTGGGCACACAGAAGAGAGGACGACCTGGAAGGCACTGAACAGGCTGTGCTCTGGCACTACAAAATGCAGAGCTAACCTTAAGAAAAGACCATGTGGATTCAGAATAGGTCATCACAGTCATCAC